ATTCGATTTGGCCGCTTTCCAAACTGGGGTAACAGGCGAACAGAAACCAGCAGCAAGCAACTGAAAACTGGTATAAACTGTTATAAAAACATTTGGGCAAAAATAATAATTGGTATAAACTGTTATATTTCATTTTATGCATTTATACCTATTTGTTGCCGACAACAACAGCTTGATGGCAACAACAACCCCTTTACAACAACATCCCAGCAGCAGTCCATACAAATTTCTGAAATTTTCCATGCAAATTGCCCGTTTCCCAAACTGGGGTAACAGGCGAACAGAAACCAGCAGCAAGCAACTGAAAACTGGTATAAACTGTTATAAAAAGTCCAAGTTTCAAACCATTTCGGAGCCGGCGGAAGTAAGCGGAGACTCAAACCTTTTGAATCCAAATTTAGTTGTTATTTTACAACTGCACCTGGGCACACTGAAACTGATCGTCTTTAAATTCAAATTAGACAGTTAAATTCAAATTCAAATTTGGCAGTTAAAATATTTAAAAAAATTTTTTAAATTCTAAAAAAATTTTAAAAATCTAAAAAAAAGTTAAAATATTAGAAAAAAATTTTAAATCTAATTTGAGACATGAGCTTCTGGTATTTTATCAGAATTTTGGTATAAATTTTATGAAAATCGGACGACTATATCTTATAGCTGCCATAGGAACGATAGGGAAAGTAATAGACAAAATTATAACTCCGTTGTTTTTCAATGTATTTTCATTTACTTTGAGACATGAGCTTATTTCAGAATTTTGGTAACAATATTATGAAAATCGGACAACTATATCATATAGCTGCCATAGAAGCGATCCGTAGATGTGGAGAAAATGTAAAGCTGGGAATGTATAACTGTAACTGTCAAACTGTAAACATAATAAGTATAGGTAAAATGTTATGAAACTCTGTTTAGTGTCTGTTTTCGGCATTATAATTTATGATATAAATATGAAAACCAATCTGCAAGGGTATACAAACTTCGGCTTGCCGAAGTTAGCTTCCTTTCTTGTTTTAGTGATATTGTTACTTAGTAATCCGACTTCATCCACAGGTCCATGCCGAGAATGGCGACATCATTGCCAAGAACACCCAGCGCCTGCTGGCCGAGGGCATTAATGGTCCAGAGGGTCACGAGCTGTCCCGGCCCGAGGAAGTCGAGGCAGAGGCCGTACACCGCGCCTGCGTTCTGGCCCACCAGGTAAGACCACTCCCAAGTGCCGGTGACTAGCCGGCGTCAGAGGAGAGTTGAGAGCGTGAGTGGTGGATGTGGATGTCGGTAGCGGGCCAGCTGAAAAAAGGCTGTGCTGTAATTATCCTTTATTTATATGTTACACCTTTTGATTTCTTATTATTTCCATTGTGTATGATGCACCCTTGTACATATTATATATGCGGTATGCGGCACTCGATATAACCCCTCGATATAATCGAATATCCCGACTCCCGGCTACCAGGCCGCTTGTCCACTGTATGTGGTCCACGTGATGAGCAAGTCGGCGGGAATTGAGCTGGCCAGGGCCCGCCAACGGTACCGGGGTCGTTATATTATGGGCGAGACCCTGGCCGCGGCGCTGGGCACGGATGCGACCTGCTGCCAGCACCTGGGCTTCGATCATGAGGCGGCGCATGTGCTCAGCCCGCCCCTGCGGCCCGACAAGACGACGCCCGAGTTCTTGATGAAGCTGCTGGCGAAGTAAGTGCTGATCGGGCTAAGGACGGGGACCGTAAATAACAGAAACACCAAGGAAGATAGTCCTATCAACTGATAGCTATAAAAATACAAAACCACTACAAAGATTTTCCAAAGGTTCATTAAAACAAAAATGTATAACAGAAATTATTCGAAAAATTAGAAGATGAACTAAGTTTGTGAGATTTAAAACATATTTGTTACATTTCAAGACCAAAAGGATTCTATTTTTTAAAATAATATAAAATTAGAGATTTATTGTTTCTAGAATCTACAATGTAGATTCTAATATATCCACTCCTTTAAATTTCCTCCATAAGCTTTTTTATAAATTTATTTAAGTTTGGATGAAATATTTAGCAAATTATTTTTGTTAGTTTACGGGTACACACATAATGATTACGGTCTCTGCTCCTGGGTTTAATGTACTATATATGTTGATGATGGCTAATCTGCATACTAACCGGGCTGTGCTTATGCCTGCTTGTATCATATCCACTAACCAATTAACCACTGACTGCGTTCTGGGTCCACCTAACACACTAATCCAATCTGATGACGTTTCCATGTTTGCCCATGCTTCCACTCACACGCTCACCCATCGCCCAGATGAAGACGCCGCTCTTCGTGTCCGGCCTGACCAGCAAATCATCCGCCGAGCTTGTGGGTCGCGCCCGTCGCAGCGGCTACTGTGTCTTTGGCGAGACGCTGGCCAGCTCCCTGGGTCGCTCCATGAGCGGTGTTCCCAAGGGAGATCGCATTTACTGCATCACCAGTCCGCCGATCCGCGAGTCCGCAGAGACACCCAGACAGCTGATGAAGTCCCTGGCGTAGTAAGTATCATCAGTCGCTCATACATATATGTGTCAGGATAAAAATGTACTATATAGTGGGTCACAACTGAAGTCCGAACCCTTTTGGGATTGTTGTTGAAAATATAAAGAACAGACAAATATATTATAGCTATTCGGTAAGATTCAAGTTCCGGGTTCTAGAAGTAAGTACCCGAGCATCAGACATGATCGTTGCACTTTCCACCCTGCGGTGATTGTTCGTTTTGTTTCAATTTTGTTTAACTGACCAACTCAAGGATCCACTCCACATTCCCAATATTGATCCCATATTATATTACCTTCTGCTCACAGCGACGATCTGCAGCTGACAGGCAGCGACAACTGCACCTTTAACAAGGAGCACAAGGCACTGGGAAAGGGAGACTTCACCAAGATCCCGAACGGAGTTAACGGCGTGGAAGATAGGATGTCCCTGGTATGGGAGAAGGGTGTCCATGCCGGCCTTCTCGATCCCTGTCGCTTCGTGGCCGTAACGAGCACGAATGCGGCCAAGATCTTCAATATTTATCCCCAGAAGGGACGCATTGGTAAGTCCTTTAGTGATATGAAGAGCACAAGGCATTGATTTTATTCCTCTTCCCTTAGCTGTTGGCTCGGATGCTGATATCGTGATCTGGAATCCGAATGCCACCCGCACCATTTCCAAGGATACGCACCACCACGCCTGTGACTTCAACATCTTCGAGGGCATGACCGTCCACGGCATCTGCGAGTACGTTCTGGTGCGTGGACGGATTTGTGCCGAGCGAGGAAACGTGCGCGTGGCAGAGGGCTTTGGACGCTTTATACCGACTCCCGTTCGTCCGCCGTTTGTCTACGACATCATCGAGGGCAAGGTGCAGTCGCAGCCGGAGGAGCAGCATGAGGAGAAGCAGAATGGCAATGTGGCGAAGCGGTTTGCCGAGCTGGACATTCAAATCCCAGTGCAGGAGCCCATCAGCGCCATGCTGGCCGGCAACCTGGCCATGCCGGCCGAGGGATCACTGTGTAGCACGCCCTCGGTGCGTGGACGCGTCGATGGAAAGCGTGATTTGCAGGAGTCGTCGTTCTCCATAAGCGGTAAGATATTAATGATTTTTTTATACGATACATTTTATAAAGAATACGTCAACTTCAATTTGACAGAGGAACTGGACCGATCTGGCGTTCGTGCGTGCATCAAAGTAAAAAACCCACCTGGCGGCAAGTCTTCCGGATTCTGGTAGAGATCGTAATAGCAACGTCGCATCATAGTGTGTGCGGATGTGGTGTGGAATCGCACAATCTCCGACGACAGTGTAAGCCAAAGTCTGCGCTCATACGACAACTAAACTGGCATTTAATATAGAGAACCCCGAAACAAAATCGTAATCTAACCAAATTTCAAAATAAGTACATATACATATAGCCTCAAGACCTATTGAGAAGGAATCGTGCAACCTGCTTTGATTGTTTGCCTCTTGTTGATCAATCTTTTGTTAAGCTTCACAATTTGGAGAGCCCAATTGCAGGTTACATCGTCGATGGCCTGAATTGCGGACTACCGAAAATCAAACAAAGTGCTTATTAAGGATATTTTTTGTTAAACACGTATTCACGTTTATTTTTAAATACTTTGTTTATTTACAAGGAGATTTAGCACAATTTGTTTGTACCCCTGAAAGCTGAAATAGGCAATGCAAGCAAAATCAAAAGGCTCGAAGGGATAACTCAGTTGAATAATATTACACTACTTCACTATAACCCGCTTTTGAAATGGAGTACATTTACTTGATAACTTGATTTGTCCCTAAGGCCTATCATGCCACATTGGGAGCAAATATTCGCGACTCATCTCTGAGGATTAGACGTCTTCAACTAGACTCTGTAATCATTTTTTCGATGAAAAATTATAAATGTGCAAAACTATTTATTATATACACATACTTTATATACATTTAACAAATGCAACAAAAGCAGAACACAAAGATCCAACTAATAAACTTTACCAAAAAAATATTAAAATGTTTATTCTTAAATTGCAAGGTCATGGAGAAATGTCTGGATTATTATGGGAAACTTGAAAGCAGTCCAGTTAGAATATGTACTTAATACTGGGATCTGATTAGGATTATACGAATCTAAACAAAACAGACGTATTAAAGAGACTTAGGAAATCTCTAAATTTTTGTAGTCATTACAATAAAGAAAATAATAAATTAATAAAATAATTTAAATTGAGAGAAAAATATATTAAAAAAATTAAAATAAAAATAAAAAAATATCGTTTCCAATATATATACATATATGCATATATATTTATGCATATTTTAAAATTAAAAAAAATCGGAATTATCATTAAAATACCGATAATTAAATAAAAAAAATTATTTCAAAGAACCTTTATCTTGGGCAAAACAAATTGCTTAACAATAAACTCTTCAGCCCTGCTAATTGCCCCCCGTTTCTTAAGGCAACATATCATAGTTGGATTAGTTAATGGTCGCTTTTATTTTTATTTAAATGGATATATTTACAAAACGATTTAGCACAATTCGTGTATGTATTAATTGTATATTTCAATATACCTTACTCTTTATTTAAAAATCATGACTGACAGCGGACTATGCGAAATCAAGTGTTTGAATAAATAAACTGCCCAACTGTCTGTGCAGTTTTCGTATATGAATACATAATTACAATCGTTCGATACAACACGCTCTACCGTCTCAAGAAAAGTACTCCATTGCATTGGCGACACCACGAGATGTCCATGCAGGCCAATGGTGTTGCTGGTTTGGGCCATCAATTAGGTTTCTCAAATGTGTTTTAATTTAAATATTTTTAAATTATCAGAGGTAAAATACAATTAGTTTTGCCTTCATCACTCGACTACTTACAATTGGTTATTTTAACTGCAGAGCACAGTTACAATATTATCATTACAGGGTGTCATACGAATAAACAATCTAATGAACTAGTCTTGATATATAAATAAAGTGTTTTTGTGTGTAGTGCTTTGGGTAAAAATGAAAATATTGGGTGGCAAAGGTTGCTTCTGCTTACTCTTAAATACTTCTCACATCTCTCTCTTTCTCGGTGTTTCGCTTACGCTCTAAAAATCATTCGTAATGTGACCTAAAATTGACTTAACAACTAAATTCCAATAGTTATAATGACAGTTTATGAGTGGTTTCCCTTTACTTTTCCACATCTCCTTCGATCGCGGCCGGTGATTATATTTGATTTGAAATTTGATGATGGTTAGGCTGTAGGAATGCATGCGACCACAAAATTCTTTCGATTTTTCTATCCAAAAGCTGAAAATATAAACACCATGTAATCGGATACCAAAAAGCCTCGTTGCGCCATTACTCACTGCCTGATCCTAGGCGCTTGCTCGCTCTCATGCTTGCTGGCTTATAGCTTCTTTAGATAGGCGGCACACTTGACCGCACTGCTGACCTGTCCCGTGTTGAGGAGACTCAACTTCTTGTGCTTCGCCCGGAATTTCTTTACATAGGCGTCAATAAGATTTTTAATCTTGTGTGGATTGATTTCACCAGACCGACTGTGGCAGATCTGGGGAATAGAATGGGATTAGAAAGAATTACAATTTCTTGAAATCGTGTGCTTGAAATTTACCTTGGGCACAGCTCTTCGCATAATGTCCTTGTAGTCCTCCTTGGTAATCGCCTTCTTGTTAAAGTGCGGCTTCAAAACTAACTTCACTTCCTCCACCACACGCTCCTGTCGATTTAGCTTGCGTAAAAACTGCAAAGTAAACACAAACATTCATAATTTGTCAGGGCTTTAGGGATTGCCTTTGAAATGGACTCACTCTATCCTTGTTTTGCAGATCCATGGCCGAATTGGGCACATCGTCATAAGAATCAGGGATTCTTCCACCTAAAAAAGTGTTTGGGAAAATGTATAAAACTAATAGCAACTTTTTACTTCCATTCGCTATTCAAGGGATAACACAGGTCAACAGATTTTCGGAACCAAGAACCGGAATATACTTTTCGGATAGTTTATGATAACGTAACGATAGTTTTGAAAGAATAAATCGTATTTAATTTACAGCGTCTCAAAAGTTTCCAAAAACAGCATTTGTTCCACTTCTAAGATTGAATATCTAAAAAACCTGACATATATTTTTTTATCAAAAACAATCGGAAAAGTATATCCAGTTCTTGCTTCTCCGATTTTTAAAAATTGCTTGACATTTGTAATTGGAAAGCGGAATCTAATAAGAATTTTTTTGTTACTCACCTTTTGTTTTCGATTTGCGGTCACCCTTGTTGCGGTACTTTTTGCCCGAGTTGTAGCGCGATGTTACCCGGATGTTGCCCACGGGCGAACTGCTCCCGAACAGGTTATCGAACATCTCCGTCTTGCCAGCTCCCCCCTTCGACCGTCGGCCGCCCTCCAGCTGGCTGGGTGGCTCGAAGAGATCCTCGTAGTCGGCTGAACCCGGCGAATAGGGGCTCTCAATATCCATGTTAAACGAGTCATCTAGGGCATTGGCCGAACCTCCGGTATTTCCGCTGCCGCTTCCATTCCGCAGGCCGCCAATGTTACCGCTACCCACTACGCCGCCTCCACTCGTGGTTGGCAGATTCCCAATGCCACTGCTGCTGCTGGCCACACTGCCACCGCCCTTGGGCAGTGGGGTAAGCTTCTTTGAGAGCGGCGTGGGACTGGAAATCGAGGGTATGTGCTGTGAGCTGGACACCACGCTGCTGCTCGTGAGCAATACGTTAGAAAGAACGGTGATGGAATTGCCATCGGAAGCCTTGTCATGGTTGTCGCCACCTCCGCCACCAGCTCCTCCGCCGCCGCCAGTGCTGGATCCAACGCCAACAGAGAGACTGATGGAGCTGCTACTGATGTACTGGGCGGAGCTCACCTCGCTCTCCTGCTGGTTGGCGGCACCGCTTTGGTTGGGTTTGTTCATCAGCGCCATCACCAGATCCACAGGATTGATGACGCTGGTCTGGGTCTGGGTACTGGTGCTGGCATTTGACACAGTCGCCTGAGCGGCATCGTTTTCGCCCTTGTCACCAGACCCAGAACCAGCTGCACTGCTCCCCGGCATGCTGGTCACCTGCTGCTTGTCCAGGGTCTGACCCTGGGTGGGTGTCGGTGATCGCGGCGAGAGGGAGGGAGACTTGGTCGGCTCAAAGGGATCGTAGGCATCCGGCGAGCACGGACCCGACTCCGGGGGCGTGTTCGGACCAATCTTCTGGCCACCATCGTGACTGCTGTGGCCATGCTGAGCTGAAGCCTCCTCAGCAGCCGCCTCCAATTCGTCCGCCGAGTTAATGTCGTCGGCGTCGTCATGAAGCGGATTGCTGCGCACCTTGTGCTGCTGCTGCAGCTTTTTGTTGGGCAGGCTGAACTTGACCAGCGGCGGCTCCGGTGGCGTCTTGGGGCCGGTGGACTGCGTCATGTTCTCGTAAGACGTCTCCATGATTGTCTCCAGGGAATTGACCTGCGGGGTCTTCTCTCTTTGGCCATTCTCTCTCATTATGTCGTGATCCCTATCCCTATCTCTGTCTCTCCTCATTGAGATCTGGTCAGCCGCATCCTCGCTGTCTGTTAGCACAATAACATCCGCTGGCTCCTGGTGGACCTGGAAAGGCGAGCGTTCCAGGTCGATGATGGCCACCGGCTTGGCCTCCAGTTTCTTGCGCTTGCGCAACTTTTCCTTCTTTCCCTTCTTGTTAGCTCCCACTACACTGGCCAAACTGTTGTTGCCCATGGAAGTCATGCGCGTACTCAAAAGTTCGTCCCTGATGGAAGGCATGGTCACCATCGATGACGGCTGCTGCTGCTGCTGGGAGTTCAGTGAGGAGATGGCGTTGCCACTGTTCGTTGCCTCCTTGTTAAAGCTCACGCTCACCAGAATGTTATTACCTGAGGCGAAGACCTCCTTGGAGGGCAGGGGCTCTGGCGTCTGAGTGCGTCGCTTTCGCTTTTTCTCCTTGCGCTGCTTCTCCAGCGGTTGCTGTTTCTTCTTCTTTTTGCTTTTGTCACGCTTGCGCTTGGACTTTTTCGGCGACAGTCCTCCACCATCATTTTCGTAGTGGCCACTGGCGCCCTTGGGCGATTCCAGGGGCGGCGTCCAAGAAGAGTTCTTTTCCTGGCAGCCGCCGTCGTGCAGGAAATCGCAGCGACCGGGCGACGGCGATGGCGACCACTGGCCAGTACCCATACCTCCCTTCTTGCGCTTTCTTTGCGGCGCCAGGAAGTCGTCGACGTCTTCAAAGGGATCACGTTGCCGTGAAATTCGTCGCATCCTGGCGGCCGCCGTTGGACTGCCGCTGCCGGCCCTCTTCTTGCTCTTCTTCTTCTTGTCCGACTTATTTTTCTTTTTCTTGGGCGCATCCTTGGGACTCTTGGAGCGGCTCCTGCTTCTGCTTCGACTCAGCCGAGGCGTGTAACGCGGCGAACCAAGATATAGTGGGGACCGATTGATGACTGCTCCATTGATACGATTGGGGGTGACCGATCGTGCTCCGCGGGAGTGCAGTGACTCGGGACTACGTCCTCCAATGGCAGGGGGCGGCAGAGGGGAGGGCGATTGGGCATAGCGTCTGCCTGGAGAGGATCGACGATTGCCACCTTGCTTGTGCGGAGAGGGACTTGTACCCGGCGGCGGTGTTGGCGACATGCTGAAGCTTCGGAACCGCTTGGGGGAACCAGATCGCGAGCGAATCGAACCTCCCCTCGAGCCACGCGACACGCTGCGCGAGAAACTCCGCGAGCTGCGCCTTGGCGAACGGCTTCTACCCGAGCGCGTGGCATCGCGACCATAACGATCCTTGGCGTGCGGCTGGTGGTGCCTCGATGCTCCCACCACATTGCGGACATCGTAGCGAGGCATTTCCCGTCGCTTGGGACGCTGAAAGAACTGCTGGCCATGGTGGTGCTGCTGGAAGTAATGCTGGCCATGGTGCTGGTTCTGGTGGTGGAAGTGCTGCTGATTGTGGTGATGGTTTTGGTTTCCATAATGCTGGAACGGCCTGTTGTGAAACTGCTGGTTGCGGTAATTGAAGCGCAGGCCTCCACGACCTCGCACAAAGCCGCGCTGGTAATCACGTCCACGGAAGGCCATCCTGTGACGACCAGGCGAGTGGGAGCGATCGCGGGATCGGGACCGAGAACGTGAATAGGATTTAGAGCGGCTGCCACGACGACGTCGGTTTCGATTGCGACTGGGCGAGCGACTCCGGCTCCTGCTCCTACTCCTGCTTCGGCTCCTGCTCTTGCTTTTACTCCTACTCCTGCTATGACTGCCGCTCTTGCTGCGCTTCCGGCTTTTGGAGCGACTCTGTCGCGAGCGACTTCGCGAACCCGAACGAGAGTTACGTTCCGTCGGCGGCTTATCGACTCGGTAGTTGCGATCCTTCTGCCGCTTGCCCACCTTCTTGAACGACTCTTCCTTGTTGCGTTTCGAACGCGTCTTCGACTTGGTGACGGATCCTCCTTGGCTAACACTGCGGCTGCGGCTGCGACTGGGGCTCCGACGACGACTGCGGCTACGACTGCGCCGCTTTGATTCGTTTTCGTTCGTCAGGTCGTCCTCGGACACAATATCCGTGCCTATAGCCGGCGCCCGATTCGGTTCCTCCCCCTCGTCGTCGGATGGTTTGGAGGAATGGGAATTTGGACTGCTGGTGGCTTCGTTCTTTTTATCAGCCCCTGGCGCCTCCTCCTCGCCATCGCCCAAAATCTTCTCGTCCAAACAGGGTGTGTAGGAGCGATCTTGTTCGTGCTCGCTGCCGCTGGCATTGCCATCCTTCTTGGGTGCTGACTTTTTGGAAGCAGGTGGCTTGGGAGTATCATCCGCCCCTGTATCCAGCGCCTTTTCGAACTCCTTGGGCTTGTCAATGTCCAACTCCTCCCAGTCGCTATCGTCGTACAGTTCCAGTACACCCTTTGCCCGGTCTCGGTCCGCCACTCGATCTTCCTTAACCGCCGGACTGGGAGTGCTGCGCGTCTTAGTCTCCTCCCCCTCCTCTGGTTGAGGAGCTTCTGTCATGCGGGAGTTGCTGTTGCCGTCGTCGTGATCGGATAATTCTGACTCATTCATAGGCACACCATCGCTATTCGATTTTTCGTTTTCGTCCGCTTCATCTGGTTCATCTGTTGGATTCTCCGGCTCGTACAGATCATCATTAACCTTTTCGGGCACAGGTTCGGGCTCGGGTCCCAGTGGCAATGGTATGTCATTGTCCTCATCGTCATCATCGTCGTCTAATTGTACTAAATCCTCATTCATGTCATCATCTTCCTGAGTAACCTATAGAAAGGAAATAAATAAATAAATATAAATTTATTTTCAAATTCTAAAATAAAAGTTATTTGTACATTTTTATTTTACTCATAAATCCTATTTAAGATCCCTAAAAAAAGAATATTCTATATCAATTCCCATCAATTTTAGTATCATACCTTATCGGGCTCCTCGGCTGCCGGACCATACGGCACTCCCGCCGACGCATTGGCCACCGCCTGAGAAGCTTGCGAGTAAATCGAAAAGTTGGGACAGTTGTCGGCATCTTCGTCTGCTCGCATTGTGTTTATCTTGAAAATCGGATTGTTCCACGAAAGGCTGGCGGGTGGCGTGGGCGGAGGTGGTACCGTTAACACTGGTGGCATGCCCATAGCCGGTACCGCCGCATGGTGGTTGACGGTAGGAGGCGGACCAAAAAGCGGAGTTGGTCCGGGAAAGGTGTTGGAGGGCGCTAGCGGTGCCGGCGCCGGCGCCACTGGTGGCGCACTTCCGCGGAAAGGTGAGCTGTTTGGCTGGTTGACAGGTGGCATGTTCTGCTGGCGATGCTGCTGCTGTTGCTGGCGATTGGGCGTATTGAAGCGCAGGTGGAAGGGTGTGAAGCTAGTTACATTCGTGTTACTGTTGTTGGCGCCGGGGCTGCTAAAGTTTTGATTACTGAAACCGCCAGCCGGTGATCCATCTCCGCTGCCGCCGGTTGATTGGACTGCTCCTCCACCAGCGCTCGAGCCTCCGCCACCGCCCCTGTAGCTGTTATTTCCGCTGTAGCGATTGTTGTAGTTTTCGCCGCCGCCGGCTCCACCACCTCTGCTGAAATTGGGTCCTGCTCCTCCGCGCTGGTACAGCGGCGCCTGGGTAACGTGCTCCGCCGGTGCTGCGGCAGGCGCCGCCACTTTTGGGGGAAGATTTAGACTGCCATCCGGTCGAATATGCACATCGCTCAAGTTCCGCGAAGCGTCGTGCCAGCGATCCTGCAGCTCTAAAATGGAGGACAAAATGTCTCCAGCTGCGGCTGAAGCCGACGCGGAGGAAGTGGCCGCCGTGCGAGCTTTGCCCTGAAGCAGTGCCTTCCGGATGCGTGGTGCTCCGACACTAGCGATGCGTACCGAGGTTTGCACTGCAGTTGAGCCGAGACCAAGGGAAGAAGATGCCGCCCCATCACAATCTGGCTCGCTGTCCGAGAAGTATTCCAGGTCATTGGCATTACCAAACAGTGTGAAGCTGGCGGCGGTTCCACCGCTCAGATGCGACCGATGAACTCCGTCCGACTTGACACCCATCTGCTCGGCCAATCGCTTGCTGGCGGTAAGGCGGCGTCCTGGCCCCTCACTGGAGGCGGTGGCAGCAACACGACGTCGGCGCCGTCGACGTCGACGGATCACCTTTTTGCTGGTCTTCAAGGCAAACTTCTCGTCAAAGTTGTTTAGATCATACTCCACCACATAGGTGCGGTGGCGAGGTCTTCTCCGGCGGCGTCGTGGTGCGGACCTTCTGGTCGTGCTAGTCGTGGTGCGTCGGGTTGTTGTTGTCGTAGTTGTGGTCGTTGTGGTGGTGCGTGTTCTCGTGCGGGTCTGGGTGGAACCTTCCGCTGAGGCAGTATCAGATCGAGTACGTCGCAGGATCGCTGCCCGGATGCGCTCGTTCTGCCGCGTGCGTAGAATCCTGGGCGGTTGCTGAACTTCTCGCACCCGGAGGCGCGTTTCGGGCAGGCCCATGCCTCTAATGTCCTCGTACAGTTGGCTCAAGTCGTCGGCCAATTCCAGTTGCTCGTCGGGGTCCTCATCCTCGGAATCAATGCAATTATCGCAGTACCAGGAACCAGCAGGAATCTCATGGAGCGGAGGGTCCAGGCAGTCCATGTGGTACCCCTGGTTGCAGCTGTCACAAAGGAGCATCACATCCTCGCGCTCCGGGCTATCGCAGATCTCACAGTTGGTCACGTCCTCTTCCGGAAGTGTCGCGCCTCCCTCCGCCTCGTCGTCCAGTGCCAACTCAGTCTTCGACTTGCTCAAGTCGACTTTCACCTCCCTCACCACTTTGCGACTGGCGTAGGAATCCCTCACCACAATCCGGTCGAACGCGATTCGGTCTATTGGACAGGTTTGAACATTTCGCGACCAGGCATCGATGCAGGCTGCACAGAAAACATGCTCACAGGTTGCCGGCGTGCCGATCTCCTGCTGCCGAAAGGTTAACAGGCAGATGGGGCACTTCTCCAGCAAATCGTTGCTGCTGCTGTCGGAAGTGAAGCCGGGATCTGGCTCAGCCGTAGTGCGCTGAAGTGTACGCCCCGCGGAAACACCCTCCTCCGACTCATCCTCCTCCTCAGTGGACACTACCTTTTTCCGCCTGGTGCTGCGCGTGGGTCGTTGATTGATCTGCAAGGAAATAATTGGAACATATTGGCAGGTTATTTCACAACATTGCGACTTCCACTCGCTGTGTTCCGGATCAGTGCGTGACCGTACCTCACTGCCGCTGGTGGAACAGTCGCTCTGCGGCCCGTAGCGACTGCGCTGCTTGCGCGTGGACTTTCGAGGCACTGCATCCGAGTCGGAATTGGATTCCACCTCCTCCTGGCGACGAGTGCTGCGAAGATGACGCGCCGCCGCCGCCGTTGAACAAGAGGGCCGCTGGTCGAGGTCGGGATCCGAGGCAGTGTCGTCCGAATCGTTGAATTCGATCCGCATGATGATGCGCCGGTTCCGCTTGGGCCGCGCGGCCTGCTGCTGTTGCTGCTGATTCATGGATCGGCCAGCGTCGGAATCGGATCCAGAATCACGGTCGGGCATGCTGATGCAACTGCGTATGTGTGTATCAAGCCGATATATTGATGTGTGTACACTGTCGGCGGGGCAGGCGCGTGTGTATTACATATATATTACATATAGGGAGTGCTGGTCTTTGCTTAATTTTCATCTAGTTATCCGCGCCCCGAAGCTTCTCTGCTCTGCTTTTTGGTTTGCCAACTACATTCTCGATCTCGCCCAGAACGTAGTCGGTGTGTTCGCCTAGCTTCTTGCGCTTGCTTGTCTATAATTGCAGGCCGCTGAGTGCCGAGAGTGGCATCAATCGCAAATTTTTCGGCGCTCCGTCTGGCGTTCGCTCGGTCTCCTGCTCCGTGTGCTCACGCGGGCCAGGCAGCTGCGGTGGGCAGTGGATGAGGGGCAGCGGTTTTGTCGCCGCAACGCCTGTATTTTCAAATTGGTTTCAAACGCAAATTTTTCACACACAGTTTGTTCACACACACACTCCAATTTCAGCCATTTTTTCAGCTAGAGATGGCACAGGCCGTTAAAGAGAGCTAGCGATAGTTGCCGCTGCTTGCGATATACGCCAGGAGTGTGACCGTGCCAGGCGTAGTATAAAAATACATTCAACTAAATACTGTAACCGGTATTTTTGGGATTGATTATTACACTGGCTAACATGAGCTTTGAATCTTAAAATGTTACTAAAACAAAGTTACAAAATATATTTTAATGCAGTTCTAACCGAAGTAATTTCTAGTTTGAGTACATTGTTTATTTTAAATGTCTTTTCATTATTAGTCAAGTTTCTTAGCATTTCATCATTGTGACGTCCACGTAGTGACGATGTACACCATGCAAAAAGCTAAATCTGGTTAGAAAATAACCAAGTTGACAGCACTGCAGAATTGATTTTTATTTTTGCGACGTTATTTTGCTTGCTAGGCGAAATGCAGCCTGAAAGTGCAATTGACATCCATTTGGAGGCCATGGAAGTGCTAATGCACCACATTCTCTACTCGCGGGGCGTTTATCCCGCTCAGATATTCAAGAAGCGTCGTCTTTACAACACACCGGTCCTGGTCTCTATTTTTCCGCCGCTCAACAAGTATTTGGCGTCCGTTTTGAGATCTGCCCGGTACTTACTCGCCCGCCAGGAGCTGCTTTGCTTGGAGGTGATTATCTACCAAAAGGACAATGAACCACTGGAGAGCTACCAGCTCCAAGTGGTGTCCCTGGAGAATCCAGGTTCCAAGGATCCCAATTTGATGGAGTATGAGCAACAATTGCGCTCGGCAATTTACAAACTATCCGAGCGGGTGAAGCATCTCCCCAGGCTTTCGCACGGGCGCTGCCTCTTCAAGGTCCATGTCCACACATTCCAGGATGCATTCATCCGGCTGAGCCACGAGTCTCAGTACCAAGAGTTTCCATATCTCCAGATCGAGAATTTCGAGTCGCAGGCGCCATCGCAAAAGATATCCCTCCTACCCTTGGTGGATAATGTTGGACTCAAAATGCAGGCATACATCTTTGGCTGAATCATATATGTATGTAGAGCTTAAGTGGATAATTAATTAAATATAATTTGCATTACTTTTTAAAAGAAATTGGTTCCGTTGAAATTGCATACATTAAGAAAAAGAGGTTGCCTTTTTCGCTTAAGAAATTGAATGACAATCTTTGAATTCTATACTAAGATACTCCTGATGGGTCTGAAACCTTTAGTTCCTAGTTCAAAGAAAACGTTTTCGTTTGAAGAATACCAAAGTAAATTATTTAAATCTAAAGTTTCACTTGTATATACATCAAACATTATTATTGTGGATATTTGTTTGTTGAAAATAATTTTGTTATGTATCCAATCTATGGATTCAAAGGCTAGATCTTGTCTTTTGTGGATGCCACTATTTTATAAGTACTAGTTTTCAAAACGATATTAGTTCAATTTCACAGCTGCTTTTGTAAAATAAAATTAAATAAATAATATATATGGATGCATTAAAAAACATATACATATATACGGTATAATTTCCATAATCTATATATGTGAAAACTGGATAAAAATGCCTAAAATAAAGAGATGACTTCTGAAAAAGTTAAACAATTTAACCAGCCGAGTGGGTTACATACATTTTCTGGCCACGGTTATATGGTTTTAGATATAACTTTATTTTTAAAATGGGTGACCACGAACTTTTTATGTTGGATTTACAGAATAATGCATTTAAATTGTCCATACACTACGCTGCGCCTCCAAAAGTTCCCACCCTGCAGCCACTAAATCTACACTCTACAGCAGTCCCTGGCGCTTTAGATCCTCGAATGTCTTCCGGTTGACCACGTTGCCCAGCGAATCCTCGAACTCCTCCTCCTGATCGGCGATCCAGCGCTCGCTTTGCTTCTGCGACTTGAGCTTCTCCCACAGCGTTATCGCGTCTTCGATCTGGGTAACGTTGGCGAAGTGAGCGGTGTTGGGAATGCCCAGGCAGCGCATGCCGTGCGCATGGCGCCACTCGGCAAAGTGTCGCTGGAAGGCCTTGGGACCCTTGTACGTGAAGTTGCCGCAGATCTCGCAGTTGTAGCTGATGTTCAGGCCGTGCAGCTTGTACAGCCAATAGGGTATGGGTTTGCCGTCCCAGCCAAGTGGCAGGTTCTTGGGATTGTAGGGCACATCGTCGGCGTCGGGATCGTCGTCGTTATCCGACTCGCTGGCCTCCACATCACTGTCGTCCCGCTCACCGCCTGTGCGTGCCTGCTTGCGTTGCACATTCTCCTTAGTGGCCGCCCGCTGCTCGGAAAGTAACTCGGCATACTTGTAGAGCAGAGCCTCCAGTTGGGCGATCTCCTTGTGGCGCTCACTTTCCCGTGACTGCGCGCTGGCGGACTTGGCGCTGGGCTTCTTTGCCATCAGTGCGGGGTCCAGGGTGCTCTTGCCCTTCGTCGAAAACAGCCGCTGGGCGCGCTCCTCTAATGTACCTCCGCACTTCAGCCCCAAGGCCACCAGGGCAGACTTGAGACGATCCAGTCCCAGCGAGGCCAGCTCCTCCCAGCTGGAGAAGGCGGAGAGATCGAGGTGAGCGCCAGTGTTGGCCAACGCCGACTCAGTCTCCTTGAGGGACCAGCCGGGAAAGACGCCAAGCAGCCACTGCCTCTGGAAGTCGAGCTCTACCTTCAGCAGCTCCCCCTCCAAGTCCAGCAGCGGCTGAATTCGGAGGATAAAGTGGTGCAGATAGTCGTTGAGGGTTTCCAAGTACTTCCGGTACTCGCGGTTCTTGCGCTCGCGCGGTATGTCGAAGACGTGGTCAAAGGACATCAAGTAGGTGATGTAGTCTAGTTTCTCGACAGCGCGCAGGTTCAAGTAGAGTTCGTAGCACTCGTTGAGGTCCAGATACCGGCCACCACCCTCCTCGTCGGTAAACTCCACCAGGGCGCTCATGTCGTCCGGATTGTTGTACACGCGAATCATCTCGTCGAACTCGACTGAGAGCGGCACGCTCACCTCGGCGGGATGCGACTTGTAGAACTGCTTGATCTGCTTGAGGCGGGCATAGAACTCGTTGAACTCATTGGGTCCTGAGAGGGCGGCGATCTCCGCCTTGCGCTCGTTGTCCTTGTCCTCGTACAGGTCGCGCAACTGCGCGGTGGCGTTGTGGTGCAGCTCCATAAGGTACTTGAGCCGGTGCTCCGAGTGGATGCGCTCTTTCTCGCCCGGCTTCTTCGTGGCGTGCTCGTCCACCATCAGCTTGACCAGGCGTTCGCGCTCCTCATGGTAGCGCCGCTGCTGCTCCAGGAGCGTCTCCATGGCTCTCGGATGTGGGAGTGTAGAAGCGATGCAAACTTAGTTGGAATGAAGCCTTATTTTCACCAAAATCCAGATGAAAACAAAATTTTCATTTATTTAGCGTGTGTACATGAGAATAAAGTAGTCACCGCGAAACGCCGACACGGTCATTCGCTTGGGTGGCTGCCAGACCGCCGAAAAATCCCCCGTTCCCGTCGACCAGTGTTGCAAATGTTGCTAAATTGGCAACGCTGCCATCGACAAATACACATTTCTTGGCCTGCCCCAGCAGGGTCACACTCCCCCCAAAATCATATGATCGATTGTGAAAATTTTCAGACGTCGGGCAGAAGGCAAAGTAACTTATCGTTTTTCCACTTTCCTCGTGTTTTCCCACAGTTGAAACTAAACTCGGCTCTGAATTTACTAGTTTAACTTAATTTGTAATCATTGCAGGCACGGTCGTACGTGGATTTCTCCGGAACACTTGAATTTCTTTTCGGTTTTGTGCAAGTGAAAAAAAGCAGTCAAGATGGCATTGAGCGATGCTGATGTACAGAAACAGGTAAATGGGAGTCTTATTGGGGGACACAAATGTACCGAATTTAAGGATACAAAATAGAGATTGGGCTTGGAGTTTGTAACAACTAAAGATGGCGCAGTCATGGGATCCAGACCGCGGATTGCCCACAAGTCATGTGAACTCTTTGCTACCGCCCATTCCGATGGGTTGTCTGATATCCCCTTGTTGGGGCTAAGTATTTGGATTTAATATCCTGCAATGGCAAGAGATATATTGGTTGCAATGGCAACTGGGGAGATTCCGAAGATATTTGTCCAAATACTTTGCGTAAAAAGTGAGTAAAAAATACGTACTGGTCATGTGACACGGCCCCCGCACTGCTGCAATAGGTTGGAGCGAGACAACTAGTGCGGCGCCCCCACACTCGCACTCTCTGTCACACGACCAGCAGCTCCGTTACGTTATCAGCCGCGAAAACGTTAACGAAAATAAATAATGGCTGGAGTTTCTAAGTTTTATGCTCAAAGGAAATAGTCATGTGACGCTGTACTAACTCAGCAGGACCAACTAATATGAACTTTGTTCGTCCGATTCGTTGCAGATCAAACACATGATGGCGTTCATTGAGCAGGAGGCCAATGAGAAAGCCGAAGAGATCGACGCCAAGGCCGAGGAGGAGTTCAACATCGAGAAGGGACGCCTCGTCCAGCAACAGCGTCTCAAGATCATGGAGTATTACGAGAAGAAGGAGAAGCAGGTGGAGCTCCAGAAGAAGATCCAGTCCTCCAACATGCTCAACCAGGCTCGCCTGAAGGTGCGTTTTCCTCAGGAGTTGCGAGCTGAAATCCCTGCTCATTTGGCGTTTCGATCATTTTAAACAGGTGCTGAAGGTTCGCGAGGACCACGTGAGCAGCGTGCTGGATGATGCCCGCAAGCGTCTCGGCGAGGTCACCAAGAACCAGTCGGAATACCAGACCGTGCTGACCAAGCTCATCGTCCAGGGACTGTTCCAGGTCATGGAGCCCAAGGTCATCCTGCGCTGCCGCGAAGTCGATGTCCCTCTGGTGCGCGACGTCCTGCCCAAAGCCGCCGAGTCTTACAAGTCGCAGATAAACCAGAACGTCGATCTGATCATCGACGAGAAAGACTTCCTCTCTGCAGATACCTGCGGCGGTGTTGAGCTGCTGGCCCTCAACGGACGCATCAAGGTATGTTCACCGAGCAGCTAATCCACCAGTGGACAAACCAAGCTCACGGCTTCACTTCTTTCCTTACAGGTTCCCAACACTCTGGAATCCAGATTAGAGCTGATTTCCCAGCAGCTGGTGCCCGAGATTCGTAACGCCCTGTTCGGCCGCAACGTCAATCGTAAATTCACCGACTAAATTGTTAAGTGCAACACACAAAACCCAACAGAAGTAACAAGAAAGAAGAGAACCAGCCAGCATCAACACCTATCCAGCAGGAACAGTTCAAGTTATTACCAACAGCTCCTCCACCCACTAAAAATTGAACCGAAAAGTAAACTCATTCTTTGGCAGAGTCGGCAACAGCAGCTAGGGTTATATTCAATTCAAAACACTGTTCGTTGTCTTTGTAATATCTACTATTCACACAAAACTCATATATATGGTCCGATATATATATGGTGTATGCCAATACTTACTATATAGTTTAGAGGACACGATCCTGGGAGCAGCATACAAAAGCATAATACGAGTTTGTTAAAGTTTGTTCGTTTTTTTTACATCTACATATACGCATATTTCTGAGCAGTAGGTCTCCAGGCATGTGCTTTTAATTGTATACATACACTTTAAAATTTGCATACATTCCTGTCCCAAGAATTTTGTTTTCTACTTTTTTGCACCCCCTCCTTCGCGTTATATTTTTTGTAAATTAATTTCTGTCGTCTGTAGTCTTTGTTGAACTCCTATATATATCTCTTTGTGTCGTTTGTGTTTTTAAATATCGTGTTGTGCAGCGGCTAGGAGGATCAGGAGCATAGGCAGCGTAGTAGTAACCCTTTCTTCGTGCCGCTGGCAGCCTGTGCACGTGGACATTCAGCATTGTTACCCGCCGGAGCACCGAAATGGACACCAGAAAGCGCCCTATTTCGCTGCTTCGAGGGCAACGGACACGTGTGCAGCTGCCACCTGGCACCAAATTATCCTCGAAGATCATTATCAATGTCTGTTGTTGAGCGAGCGAAAAACGAATACACGCACGCACCACATGAATCCCATTATCTTACCCCCAAACGCAGCCACGACGATGAAGTATTGCCAAGCGGCCGGCCCAAGTAGCTAAATTTGTTGACTTCAAGTTCAGCTTCCTTATAAAATATTAAAATATTAAAAAATTAAAAGAAAAAAAAAAGGGAAATTAGAATGACTCAATTTATGGGGTACCGAAAACTGCCACCGCTTCCTGCCTTCCTTCGCTGCACCATCATATCCAGATCTACAACTACAGCTATTGATCCTTGTATTTGAATGTTCGCCAATGTTCATAGTGTATTCTTCAGGCTCATTTCTAACCAACGTTACCAAGTAAATTGAAATTGTTAAAAAATATGATGAATAACTACAGATTTAGCAAGCAAATACAAAAATAGCATATGCGTTATTATATAACATCGAGTACTATATACATTACATGAAATACGAAATGCAAGAAAAATTACTTTTAAACAAAATTTATGTTGAATAAAAACAGTATTTCCAAAAACAAAACCAAATGGCAACCACTTTTTTAATTCAAGGGAAAGTTGCAGTGAAAATACAATGTCCCCTAAATAATAATGCTTTAATTAGCATATTCGTAATAAAAGTAAGTTGAAGCCACCTTGAAGTTTGGCATAGAATTATGGTATCACATCAAAAATCGATCATAACTAGGCCAAAAAGGGGACAATTTTAATTCGGAAAGCTTTTCTATGCTAGTTATGCTGATCAATAATATGTATGGTTTATAGGATCAGAAATGACTAATTCACTAAATAAAATCATAACACCCTTCGAAAAGACCGGAAATATTGCATATTTTAAATGGATATTATCCATATTATTTATTATCATTTTTGAAAATCAACGAAATGCCTGCTAATGCTGATCAAGAATATATATGATTTATGATCACTGCGTTGCAAACTTCTGAAAGTATACCCCGCAAGAGTATAAAAATCTATATTAGTGTAGCGTTTGTCAGAAAAAACGAATAAATTTCCATTCCAGTATGAAATAAAAATATCATATATAGTACGTATATTTCATTCCACATTATACATCTCTGAAAAAAAGCTTTTTGGAACTATTGCAAAATGCCACGCGATATAAAGGTGATATGAATTAATGGAAAAGCTCTTCTTGTCAGATCGCCTATTTTTATCGATAGTTCAAAATAATCAAGATACCTTCAGTCTCAAAAACAATCGACCACACCACCGACAACCCAAAATTCAACTAAAACTAGTAAACCTTCCTTCCCGATCAAATTAAGCAACACTTTTATTTTGTTTGGTATTTCATTTAATGGTTGTATACATATATGTACTTCCATGCAATTTAATTATCGTAATTTCATCGGTCTTGTTCAAATTTCGGTGCGATGAAATATTGATCTCTTAATCTTTGTTCCAACGTGCACATTTATTCAACCTGGCGGCACATATTTTGAGGATAAATATTACTTCTTTTTTTGTTCTTGGTATATGCATATGTGGGATAAATTTTAAATAAATAATGAGAACGTACAAACGGGGCCACATCCCATTTTTTAACATAACGCGCCTCCTCGCTCATCTCCAGTTTTCCTACTTCTGCTTTGAAGATCTTCGCACTCCGATCTCGAAATTTTAGTCTTCGTGTTAATATTTAATTTATTTCGAGGGTTGTGTCCTGTGTCTTCGATATTGTTGTCGGTTGTAAAACGTTTGTTAGACATGTAGTAACATATTTTTTTTCTTCATGTATCTTTACGCGGATGCATGATGCATTGGAAAACTAAGATATTAGGCATTGGACTACGAACTTTTAAATTTCTATCTTGACTCTGTTGTTTTACTCTCTCCTTTATTATTGGAAATTTTTGAGTAGTATCTAGGTGGAGTTTCTCAAAATGATGCTGTTATTCAAAGAGTGTTCTATATAGTTGTATAGATGCGTGTTCCAAAAACGACGGATGGGATGGATGGTGTAGGGGTCGGCTCCGTTTGTGTTGCTCTTTTTTTATAACCATTTAATCAAGTTGTTATTCGCCATTCTTTTGCTCGTCCTCAGATTCTGATTCTGAAAAGAAAGATTAAAGGAGAGGTCAGTGTTTTTCAACATCTATTTATAGTTATCCTCCTTCTGACGATGTGGGAGTCTGTCCAAATGATTATTGGCCAAATGTAACTATGATTAGTTATATGGACACCCAATCACTCAAATGCTCTGGCACTATTCTTTTTCTGGCAGCCCAATCTGAACGTTTAAAAAGACGTTCGGGGCTATTAGCCAGGATTGTGCGAAACACGGTCCGTCTAAAGCTTAACTTTTGTCCGAACGATTATTGGCCAAGAGTAACCATGGAAACAGGTTATATGGACACCCAATCATTCTTTTGCTCTGGCATACTGTACATGAACCCTTTAAAATTGCGCCCCGTTTGATGGAAGCACTTCAAAAGCTTGGTAAGAAGCATGCTGCTCAGAGGATCTTATAGTGGTGCTGTGTCCAGGTTTTCATTGGCCTGCGATGCTCTGGAGTTTAAGGAGCAACGAGGCAAGCAAAAAACCCAAATGCTCTTGCAATTTTGTACAATGAAAGTGTCATCCGGGACAAGACCATTCTCAAAAATTGCACTCCTATATATAAGAAAATAAACAAATAAACAAACCTTCTTCTGCTGATTGGAGCCATTCGACAAACTTGCGCATTTGTTCCAGGAAATGCATTTTTCCCTTGTTGGAGTGGCCGTCCTTGTACCAGCGCAAGATGATCTCCTCGGACAGGACCTCGGTCTTGTAGAACAACAAAATGATCTTCTGGAAGGCCTTCATAAAGTTCATGTTCTCGTAGCAGAACTCTTGCACCTTAAGAATCAAAGCCAACTCCGACCGGTCTGTTGAGGCGAAAGCCTGCAACAAGGTGCAGTACGTCTTCAAATGACGAACAGCCTGATCGGTAACTAGCTCCTCCTTCTTGTTCCATTCGCCCAATGACATGATGGTGGACCAAATCTAAAAAAGACAGCAGATGAAGTTGATTTATATATGGTTATTTAAAACCATGCATATCGTATCGACTTACAATAACAATTATTTCATGATCGGGAATGTTGTTGCGTTGCGAGAACTCCTTAATGTCAGCGGTTATCTCATTGTGGGCCTTCTCGTCGTTGATATCATCGATGAGGGCCTGCTGCAGCTCGCGTTTGGCCTCTTGGCTGGCCTGAGCTTTGTGCAGCTTAATGATCTCGTTGAGTTCCTTGTCAAGAAAAACTTGTTTAAAATATTCCTCAGTACGTTTGTTTGGTGGGAAAAAGTCCATAAGTCTGAAGAATAAACAAATAAAATGGGTTAACATTTTTTTGTTTGCCAAAAGTGCCACATTTTGCAATTTTATTTTTATTGCTTAATATATTGTACGAAATTAAATCGGCACCCAAATGAAGCCAATGTTCATTTGCGAATTGGGTAAAACTCCGTTAAATTTTCTCTAGGAACATCAATTAAGGATGCACAACAGAGTGATTGAAGCATCTTCCTGAGAACATTCCAGACCTAACCGAATTACAATTGAGAGGAGCTACTTACTTGCTTTCCAGTCCACCCTTCTTAAGCGCCTGTATCAGATATGCAATGCCCTTCTCTTGCTTGAACGTCTGGAACAGCTCTAGTAGAAACTCTAGTGCAATGCCATCCTTGATCAGGTGCTCGTTGTTTAGTACCAGTAAGACATTTGGCGGTACAGAGCCGTTAACTGTGGAACCAGAGAAATATGATTAGCTATTGTAGTCGACAGAACAGCTCGACAAGATCCTGTAAATGATCGTGTCGTGTCCTTGGGCTCGTGGCTTTTGGATGTGGCAATTAGTCATCCAAGAGTCAGTATACCAAGAGTAAGTTCACTTTAGCCCCTCAGCTGCAAGTCGAACTAGTGTTCATCGAGACTCAACCAATAAATTAGCTGAATGGGCGAGGAGCAGGTGGCTTTACTGTATACTTTTAGAAACTCACCTAACCAGAGCGCAGTCATACGCGCAAGCTTGATGCGTTCACTGGGAGTAAAGCCCTTTACGAATAGTAAAACCTTTCCCATCTCCTCTTCGAACATTTTCTCAAGATACTTGTACCGCCTGATGAGCTTAACAAATACCTGTATAAAAAAATATAAATAAAAAAATGTGTTAATTATTTCCGATCAACTTAGTCAAGTGGGAAGCCTAGTGCGTAAGTTGTTGTTGCAACATTAGAAATCTTTAGATTGCTGGCCTAAGATATTTTACAAAATAAAGACAAGTAAATGTAGCTTTTTATTTAGCATAAATTGACACCGATTACATTGTTGAGATTCTTAACCGGTTCTAATAATATGCACAAGTCGTTCCAATGACCTTCCAGTTGAGCACTTATAGCAAGTGAATAGTCGTGTTGACACATTAGAAATCTCCAGACTGTTAGTGTTTAGAACAAACCAAAGACAAGTAAAATGTGTCGTTTTATATTGCATTTTCTTGACACCGATTACATTTTTAAACTTTATAATCAGCTCTAATGAAATGCAAGAGAATCAAAAGATTCAACATTTCTAATTTTCCGTGAAACTAAATTTCCATTACAGTTAAACTTTTTGAACTTTGGTTAAAGCAATAGCTGGTTGATAAAAACACTACACACTTGGGCAATAACTATTATAGTATCAAATTTAATAATTTTGATAAATTTCCTATATAAATTATTGTAGGTATTTAAATGGTTACAAACCTGCTCATGGTTGCGCATGGACTCCATGCTCTCGGGCGCATCGAAGATGCAGTAGTTTGTGCGCGGCTTTTCGCCATCCTGAGATATGGAACCGCCAGGCACTGCAAATAGATATAAAAGCGGATTAAATGACGTGAATAATTCAGAGGGTCGAAGAAACTCACCTAATAGACCACCCGCAATCAATATATCAAAGAGAACTTCACCGTAACGACGATAGTCGAGCTTGTTGCCCGCGCTGTCTAGATATTTAGAGATTTGTTCCAGGTCGCCTTCAGTTTTTTCGAGACCAGCAATGACCGCATCACGGAATCCCGTTGGGTCATATTTTTCTCTTTCATCTCTTTTTCTGGTCTTGATGCGTTGACCCGATAGCACTGGTCTTTCAGTTTTTTGACTCATACAATAAATTGCTGCAAAATGGAGAGAAGTTGATCAGATATGTAGGTGCTTTCGGTGTGTTGTTGCCAGTTGGTTTCAGTTTGTTGCTTGTGGCTTGACTCAATTGGCAAGGTCACTAGATCAATTACAAGGCAGATTTGTTACAAGCTCTTCTCGTTCCAACTTTTTACTTTACTCTAGAGAGCGAGCGAGTCTAACCTAAAAATTCCCGTACATGTGCTTTCGGCACTCACACACATCCATGCTTGGACGGAGAACAGAGAGGCCACACTCACCCTCTCTCTCTCTAGCACACACACACACACAAGAGCTTCATCTTTTTACAGTTTGATAATGACGAAAGAAGAGGGAATGAAAGGAGAGGCAAGAACCGCCCGCCCAAGAAATCGACAAAGAAACGCAGAATATAAAGTGAAATTTTTGACGTTGTTACTCTGGTAGGTAAACGAGGTCATTGTACATACACACACACAATCACAAGGCCTTTGTGCTAGCGCACATAAATGTGTGTGGCTGGGGAAATTGACAAAGTGGCCAAAACGCAAAAATGGAAAATACGTTGCCAAGTACAAATTCGATTAGCACTTAAACTTACACTTTCACTAAACGGAAATAAGTCTGGCCCTGTTCGCCGCTTCCGCGTGTCCTTGTTAGTAATCGAAGGTGGATTCGTGTGAGTGTGTGCGTGCGTGTGCGCCTGTTGCTTTGCCGAGAGCCAACTGCGTGAGAGTGCGAACGTGTTTAAAAATATGTAATTTAATTTAACCTCGCGCAGCGGCTACTAATACACGTGTGCCGACAGAACACACTCGACACTGCGACAGATCAAGGCAGAAAGTCGTCGTTTTCTTCTTTTTGCTTGCTTCGAGCTTTCGCACTGTAAAAATGACACGCACGCACACACTCACCCAACAACCGAAGACGGGGAGAGGGATAAAGCAGAATATTTTTTAACGGAATTTACGTTTTTGGCCTTAATATGAACGTTTAGAATTTTGCTCAAATAGAATTCAGACCAAGTCCAGAATTCTATTTTTAACAGCTATCACAATCGGTTACTAGGTATTTGTTGTTTGTGTCTGCGCGCACCACTTTGTTAAATGAAATTCAGCAAGCGAATGACACGAACGAGACGAAGTGAGACGAAGCGATAACGAAGACATGTGGTTCGGCGCCATTTTGAAGCGACACATTTTCAACGCTAGAAAAAGAGGAAGAGGGGAACGGAGGCAGGGAAACCGAGAACGGGCCTCAGGAGGGGGTCCAAAGTGTGCATATTTCTGTCGCTTTTATTTAATAATGTACAGGGGTACAGTCGAACAAAGGCCCGCTGCCACTGAACGTTTTATTGCGTGAACTTCTGGCTACCCGATGACTAACCTCGCCTTGCTACGCCCGCAGTTCGTACATAACCCCTTTCGACGAAAAAATTCACTCGCGAAGGACTCTGTCCTCTCTATCGAAATATTACTTCAAACGGGTGGATATCGTTGCGCGCCTCCCCTACTTTACTTATTTCTACGTATGCAGATTTATACTCACGATTAAAACAAAAAAATCTGTTTTGCTGCGAATAGACGAAACTTTTATGTAGCTCTTGGTTTCGGGCTGTGTTTCAGTGTGACCCTGTCGAGAAGTGGTGAAAAGGAAACGCGAAAAGAGAAGCCCAATGCGTGCAACCGTGAAAAGGGTTGGGTCTTTGCTGAAACCTATCGGTTTCTATCTCCTCTCTAACAAGCAATTTTAAACTTTGAAATAAAACCCCTTTTTAATTGTGGTAAGTACTTCGTTTATTTTTCGAAGTGCCACTTTGAAAATCATGATTTATTAAGTTGTTACAAATGCTATTATATATATTTTATATATATTATTAAACCACATATTTTTAGAGTGTGATTTTTTAAATACTTTCTACGCAAAAAAAGTCGATGCAGCTAATTGCAGTAAATTGATGCAGATACGGCTCTTAAAAAAACTTCTTTTTTTTTTCAAATATATTTTATTGCGATAGTTGAGAATTTCTCGATGGTTTGCCAGCTCCAATGAGTGACCAAAAAGCTCCAAGTAGTTTCTCCAAAATACTAAATTCGGGGCAATTATTTACAGCTGGTCACACATTAGCCGGCTGTTCGATTTTGTTGACAAAATGTTGGATGCCGAATTAAACGATTTACCAGATATTAAAGCTCCAGAACTAACTTTTGAGCACTTGGTGAAGGTCCTGAGTTCACTCCGACCGCTGCAGCGTTACAGTTTTTGTGTGGAGGCCCAAAACGAAGGCGACGTGGATAAGGTAGTATGCTGGTATGCCGAGATTTAAATTCAACTTAAGTCGAAATTTCTTTTTGGGAACGATAGCTGTATAAGGGCTTCCTGAAGCTGCTTAAGGGCAACCTAAGCCTGGAGGAGGTTGTCGCCCTCTACTCTGCATCAGTGGTTTTGTTCCTGCTGGCAGATGACGACCGGGAACGGTCGTGCAACCAGAGGCTGGAGCTTTTAAACAAGACCTTCAACTACTCGGACACCCTGAAGCCAACTATGATCCACTTCGCCACCGTGGAAATGATGAATAGTCTCAGGCTGGCCAACACCAACGAGGAGTACTTCTTTATCTACCTGTTGGACGCAATTCCACATGTTCTTGTGGCTAGCGACACGGGCAAGATGATCTCTCTCGGCCTGCTTCGCGCTCTAATAGCTGTCTTGTCCGGTTCTCGGATTATCCTGTACATCTATCGCAGCGTAAGTGTGATTGAGTAAATTTAGCACGAGTTACTCTTCACTTATTTTGCAGCTGTGGGAGGCTTGGGAGATGGTGCCACAAATTAGCCAGAACATGATACTCCTGGAATGGTCACTTCGCAGAACCTACGCCCTGCTAAAGGCTTTCTCGCTCCTAATGGCCGCTGTCGCTTTCAACTCTGGCAATCGGGAACTGAAGCAGGCTGGTTACAGGGGCTTCGAACTGCCCAACTGCACAACGGAGATCTCCGACTGGTTCAGAACTCTGAGGGACAGGCTCGAGGAGAAGCACACGGAATTAAAGTGCAAAGTGGGACTTCAGGTATACGGAGCTATGAACATTTTTAGTACACCAAAGATTATTCTTATTTTGTATTAATAATAATATTAATATTTTAGCTGGTGCGTTTCGTGGACCACAACATCCTTGCGAGCCTCACTGAAACGGGGAACGAGTCCACCTCCGAGGCGGGGAACGAGGCGACTTCGGAGGCGGGAAATGACACCGCCGGATGAGTTTTACTGTGTATTATTTATTGGTTTGTATTAGTAATAGAATGTTTGAATTAGCTCATAAAGCTAGAGATTCCGTGCGTTTATTTGAACTTCTTGCCGCCCTTGCGCAGCGCGGGTGCGTCAACGGTGGCCACTGAGCTCGAGTAGTAGCTGTTGGAGATTCGATTCAGGAAGTAGAGGCCCACCAGCGAAAAGAGGATGCTCGTGGTGGCGCACACCCGATGCACTATTCCCGCAGCAGCCACCGTCAGAGATAGGCAGAAGAGGATCTCCGGCACGAGCTTAGCTTGGAAGTCCTGGCCGAAGACGAGCATCTCCACGTTGGATACGCAGGTGAGGCTCAGGATGAAGAGCCAGGAAAAGAGATATCCGCCCAGCAGAACCTTTAGCTGGGAGTCACTAAACCAGTCTGCACAAAAGCGGAGCGTGGCGAAGATTACAAGGCTCAGGAGCCCCGAGATGATGGAGGACACCAGAGTGCTCTTGCTGGACGAGGCGGCTGCAAATGATCAGGGAAGATATGGGTTCGGCTCGCTGGAAATTCTTTTCTGTGGCTTACACATATTTTATTTTCTCTCAGCCGGCGTCTTTGTTGTACGTGTAATGAACTGCCAGTCACATGTCAACGTTCCGGTGCTGCAGCGCCTAGGGCTGACAGGTTGTCCTAAACTTTAAAATTTAAACTGCTTAATTAAAAATGAATGACAAATAAGTAGTGTGTCAACGCGGCTTAATAAGTTAAACCCTGAACGGCTATTATCTTTTTGTATTTATTTAGAAGCTATTAGAAATTCCGATAAGAAATATCGACAGCAAACACAATCGTTGCAAAGGTCTGGCAGCTTTGCGGCTTTCGCGGTGAATGGTTACTCGAGCAATAACATTGAGCTGAATTATTTTTCTTATTATTTGTAAATACAAGATTGCTGCGACATGGCCTCCCTTTTCGTAGTGGCCACCAGGACACTGCGGAGCTCCCTGCTGCAGAAGCGCACCGTGGCCACCACATCGCCTAGCCTGATTAAAGAAAGTGAGTTGTTCGCCAGGCCAAGCCTGCTGTTTCATAACCTCTTTTAAGGGGAAAGACTAAAAAACTAACTTAAAAACATTGATATACAGTCCAGGAGAAGCAGGACAGTAATGTGAAGATCTTCGAGGGCGTCAACGTGGAGTCGCCACGCGCCGAGTTAATGCTGAAATCCGCCTGTCAGAGCAACTTCTGCCCGGAGTGCACGTTGGGCCTTGACATCAAGCACACTGATGTGCTCATCTTGTCGCAGTACGTCCGCTCCGACGGCTGCATGCTGCCCAGGAGGATCACCGGACTGTGCCACCGTCAGCAAAAGAAGATGGGCACGTTGGTGACGATGGCCCAGAAGGCGGGACTGATGCCGAACCTGGCGCCTGCGTGGAGCAAGAGGGATCCGAAGAAGCGTTTCGGCTGGCGCAAGTTCAACAAGTACTTCCTAGAGTCCACAATTAAATACTAACTAGAGTTAAATGGCAATAAATGTGTTAATGTTGGCTTATGTAAAATGTAAGGACTCTGCAGGCAGGACATAGCACGCATTGGTATCATGCTGTTTGTCTTATGTTCTAGGAACAAATTTAAAGGACTGTTTCGCCATATGCGACGAGAACAACATCGAGGATGATTAGGGTTTAAATATTTTCATGTTTTCGGAAGGTGTTGATTATATGTGTACCGTTAGAAAATGGTTCAGAGGTTGTAGTGCAAGATGTGGTTCGAGTATCAGGTGTGGATTTTTTAGGGGGAAATTGCTACTATTTGGGATTTTTTAGGGGAAAGACATATTTTCATCCGATTGTTTGTTTTGCTTCGTCTTTACTCATTACGTTTTGAACTCAAACCCGAGCGGGCGCGCAAGTACTTTCCGAGAGCGCTCAATTAATTAATTGTGAGCCCATGTGCACGTGTATGTGTGTGTGTCAGCGGTGCGTGTGCGGGAGGGAGAACGAAGATTATTAGCTGAGCGGCCAACTCCCAAATCGAGAACAGAGCGGCAAAAGAAAACAACGCAAAATGCAATAGTGACAACTCCGAGCGGAATGCAGGCTTTGTGCAATAATAATCACTACTTGAAATCGGTTCGGCGAAATCTGTAGCGAAATGCTTCTGTTGGCGGCGGTTTTATTGTGAAAACGAATTTCAACTACGTGTTGCTCTTTTGTTGCCTAATTTTCGGTTTTGTTGTTTTTATTTTCGCAAACGAAAGTCTGCCGATCTGCATGTGTGAGTGGTGATCGGGTAGACGACAGTGTCGGTGTTGGTGGTAAAAGCGGCGCCGAAGACAGCAGCAACAACAAAAGCCTTCAAGATGACTGTGTGGAGCGATTGCAATGCCAAGCAGGCATTCGGCATTGGTGAGTTAACAATTTTTTGGGGGAAATCAAACACATAAATAAATTGGCTAGATTACGGCCCACGGAGAATGTTTAAACAAAGTGCTTTGTAAACAAGCGTGAAGGAGTGGTTTATGGGCTCCTTCCGAGAACCAAATACGGCTCTCTCTCTTGCTCTCGCTCGTTGCTGCGCCCCATGTGCCTGCCCCCTGCTGCGTTTGCTACGGTAAAACTTGTTGCACCTTCTCGCTTACACACGCGCTGTCCATGCCGCCGCCGATCTTTCTATGCCTCGCACCGTAATTTCGTTTTTCTTTCAATTTCATCCTGTTTTTCCAGCCTCTGCGCCTTTGCCTCATTCCACGGCAATGCAACACTAGCACAGAATTCTGAGATTTGCTCTTGAAACGAAAACCTGTTTTCTATCGTCTGCCTGCCTGTTCGCATCCTCCCTCAGCCTCTCGCTCTCCCTCTCGATCGGGTGTGCACTCGCTTGCAACGGATTTACACTCACAGAAAAGGTGCTCGATCCCGATTCATATTCATTGGCAGTGACCATGAAATATCTAATCGCGGGTCGCACTTACAATACGTGTGAATTTTTTATGGGCCCGCTTTGTCGCTCTGTTGACCTTTTCTCTGTTGATTCGTAGATACGACAGGTACAGATTAAAAGGTACAGGTACATGCGGTTGAGCGGAACTCAAAAACTTAGCTAAATCACTCACTTCCACGCACACACTTGCCTAACAATCGAATTGTTTGCACTTGCTGCTTACACATGTCAGCCTTTAACTTTTTTCGTGTTTGTGCTCATGCTAACTGTCGAAATACCCGATAATAGATACTGGAGGGCGTGGCCGGGGGAGTGTGGCCGTAAAAAGTAAATACGAATATGGGCCGTGAGATAAGTTATTATTTATTATTATTTGACATTGGAGCTGTAGTTTTGGCCCCTGTAAATGCGAATTGCCTTACAGAATGCATGGAATTCGAGTGGAGACTCCTTATCAACCAGCTCTTGTCTTATCGCGCTCCTTTTGTTCTGCTTTGCGTCTTAAGAACTCTCGAATACTAAGCCCAAATGCCGAGAAACGCGGCGACAAAATTACAATTCGGCTGTCCCAGTGGGAGATGCGTTGATCTAGCCGCTTTACTTGGCAGCTCATCCATTTTGCTTATTAAAACTTTAATTATAGCTGGACGAAGGCCGGTAAACATTGAGTAATCGCTTTATCTTTTTATGAGCCTCACTTCGGTTATCGTCTATCGATCGACAGCCTGTGTGTGTGCGTGAAATTATTTCCGTTGAATTGTGAGTGTGCTACAGTTGAGTCGCCTGCCTCCTGCATGGCAGCACTCCCTCTTTCATCCGCTCACACGCTTTCCGAGAGATTCTTGCAAGTCCCATTCCTGTCACTGCTCCTTATTCAGTCACACCCACGGACATGCTTTGACGATTTGTCTGTTTGCAGACCAAGTTAAAAGTTTGCCCTGCGGTGACATCTTCAGTTCTCAGCTGCACTACTCCACTGTTCATTGCCTCTACACCTGCAGCCGTCAGCCTCCCTTTTATTTACTCACCCCAAGGTGCAGGGGAGACAGGGAGGGAGGGCACTACTCCACTCGTGCATTCTACTTCTAAATTTGAATAGCAACAACAACCAACCGCGTTAATAATAAATACAACAACATGCAGCGAGGGCAAGAGCAGGAAAGTAAACGTAAAACTTAATGACGCTGAGAGGGAGCTAGGGGGGATAGAGCGGACCTCGGAGTTGATTTGGTTTCTGATTTCAGAGTCTCGCTTTTCTCAATTTAATTAAAATTTTCCAGCTCGTTGGAGTTTGAGATGCATGAAATGTGCCTTTTGATTTGCATAATTTCAAAGGAAAGTCTTTTTTCCCTCTCAACTTCCATTTTCCACACTTTGAGTGAAAACATAATCAATTTTGGCAGCTAACCGAAAAAGGCTTTAAATTTAATCTACGTCTGGCTTGCACAGATTTCTAATTTGGATAACTTTCATGTGAGAATTCAGGTATAACTTTCAGCAACAAGTTTGAATAGAAATGTTTTAATTTTTTCAAATTTTTTTTATGAATTTATCAGAATATTTATATGGTACACTAAAATTTCCTTGGTTTTATCTAGGAACTAAGAATGAACCCCGCTATAAGGCTATATTTTTGGTAGAGACCCTGCCCCCATAATTTCAAAGATATACAAGATAATGTTGCTAAACCGAATAAGAGAGTCCCCCGATATGTGTTATCATGTGGCAGATGCCCTTCCCTTCGGGCAGCTGTATAATTGTTTGCGATGCTGACTCAGATCAGGGGAAGACCACTCATCCCTCGGATTCAGCCATCCTCCGAGGCACTGAAATTGAAGTTTGAAGTTAAGCAACTGGCAGTCGCCACTTGAGTTTCTGATTCCACTTGGAACAGCACCACCCCATCAACCCTGTAATGCAGCGAATCTCCGCTTTCCATTTCGCAATCAAATGGAAACTCAATCGCCGGCCCGCTCCGCCCAAGTTTGTAGTTCACCCCCGTCCGCAGATTGCCAATGTCGGAGATTGTCGCATTTGTGGATTCCCCCTTATGCTAATTGAGCGAGTGCAATCTTCGATTGCTCTCCGAAATGGCTTAATTAAACATAAATTGCCTGCGGCATGGCTTGGATCGAATGCGATCGGGTGGCGGAAAACTGGAAACGTTGGCGGTGGGAGGAGGAGAAGGTGGCTGCGTCATTGGGGCACAGTGCGTCATCCGGTGTCAGTGGAAACTGGTTTCAGCTGCACCAGAAATAAGAGCTGGGGTTGCAAAGGTGGTCTGCTTCCATTGAAATATTTTCACCAATCGTCGCTACTCACATTTGATCGGATTTTTATCAGTAAAATGTATCATTAGGTAAATAAGCTTTAATAGAAGCTGTCAGCATAATAATATTTTCCAGAACCATTATTGTAAAAGAATGTTATGCTGTTTATTCCAGTGAAATTTGTTTCAAAATAGTCCCACATGGTATTATTTTAGGGAATAGCTATTCCAGACGGCAGTTAACCTTACTTGTTCAAAAAGTCATAAAACCAATTTGAGATTGTTTTTAAGTGATTTTCTCAAATGTCCCAAATGGGTCAAGTTTGTGTTTACATTTCCTCTTTTGTCTTTTGTTGCTCCGCAATTTTTTATGGCTCTGCTCCGTAATAATAACGCACTTTTTTTGTTGTCCAAGTTCTTTTCTTTGGTTTCTAATTTGTATCTAGATACTTTTTACGACCGCAGCGACATTAACCGTAACTGTCAACGGCCCAGCGTTCCAAGCGGTTGTGCAAGTATTTTTATGAATTTATGTGCCATCAAATATTGTCATTATCTCTGGGGGTTCTGGAAGGAAGGGGCTGGCGGTGGGTTCGCTTGAGGTTTACCCAATTGGTTATATGCTTGTTGAATAATTCCATTTCGGCAAGCCCAAAAATATGTCTAATGCGCAGAGGAGGGGACAAAAAGGTACCTAACAAAAATATTAAACAATCACTTCTTCTGTCAATCAAAATGATAAATCGATCTATAAATAGTCGTACACTTATATCATTTCATTTAAATTAAATATCATTATTTATTCCAATGAAAGTAAGCTAATAATCAGCGTCACGTAAACCAATCCATCAGAAGTATATCAAATAAAGTGTTTGCGGTGGAACACTTTATTTTATTATTATATTCATCTTTTAATTCTCTGCTTTGATTGTATAGTAATGTATGCTAAATAATTAATTCACAATATCTAATTACAAATTCCTCTCAGCATCCACAATTAGCCGCATCTGGAAATTCAAAACAAACAATAGACATAACTCCCACCGAGCTACTGCCCCAATCCATTCGCCGCCCGATTGTTATTTTTGGTATCCGTATTAATTTCACCCCACTCCCGCTTAGAGATCTCCTCCGCCACTTGTAATTAGTCAATGCCAGAGCATCTTAAGCGATGAGAATCATTATAATTAACCCTCGAAACCGTTCCTCAGGCTTTGGGCAATTAAAGACGCATATGTGGAAAAGTGTATATATAGATATATACATAGCTTCAGGGGCTTAGCTCATAGGAGCTCATACTCGGATATTTATACTCGGATACGGTGAGAGAGCTTCAAACATAAAACAGAGAACAAAAAACAAGTGTGCCTGTGTGCTGAGAATTTGCATATGTGTATGATCATATATAGCCTCTATACAGAATCTTCTCTGAGCCGCGTGCTATTTAAACCAGAAATTTTGGAATGAGCCAAGTTGTGGCTGGGCCTGGCTGTCGCCGCGCCGTCACGTTGTTGTAGTTTTTGTTTCATTTTATTTTCTACTGGCCAGTCACCAGTCACGACGATGCTGACTCCGACACCAATTGATGACGCAGCGCCTCGACTGCGGTTTTAAATATATATTCACGTTGTTATATTGCTACGATTTGTTATTGTTTTGTGTTTTGCATTTTATCTATCTTTGGGCAAACTTTAACCTCGCAAAGTGGGGAGTTTACTGCCAAACAGCACACTTTGTCCACGTGCTTGGAGGTGTTAGTGTTGTTATTTTATATAGGAAAATACATCGAAAATCCCAGGAAGCTCTAAAAGCACAGAAAACCCTAAGAAAGCTATTTATTCCATAGCCGAGCTCGGCTTAAAACGAAAACATGTCTCACTTCCAATTCTACCCACATATCAAAATGAAACTAGAACGCATAATTATTACTCATATGAGCAAAAGATTGTATTTACTCTCTACAAAATGCAAAAAGCGGTCTACTCTGTCTTATCATAATATAAAATGTCTATAGATGGTACTATCAGAAAATCAAAACTTTCAGTAATATTTGATACTGATACTTCTACTTGCTTTTACATTCCACCTCTCTGTTTTTCTCCGTGCAGTTCCATTAAATGAGTCTGGGTATGGTGGATGTATATATTTTTCGTTTACCTGCCTGATTGCCTGTTGAGTGCTGGCTTTTCTCAGTTGTATGTATTGGTCCGTACCCTTTTTATTTTGGCCTTCCTTCCCCTGCCATTGAGCCGTGACTTTCCTGCCCTTCTCCACGTCCCTGCTTATTTATAGACCAAGAACTTGTGCATTTCATTATTTATGAGCATTTCCGTTAGTCAACAAGTTTTCGTTGCAGCAGAAAGAAAAAAGGGTCTTGGGATAGGCTTTGTTTGGCTTATCGTCGCACTGGAGAAAAGGAAATGGGCTCGATTTAATGACGTTTTTGATCGTTCTTGAACCCAACCCCACAACTGCCACTGCTCCTCCCCCGCACTGATCGGGACTTATAGGTGTGTCGCTCACTGTGACTGATTGCTTGACCGAAGCACCAACGCCGCTGCCGACGCTGACGATGATTCACTCACTTGCCATTTCCGAGTATTTACTTAAGTTGCGCATAAGTAGCCGCAGAAAATTAATTCCCTTTATTAGCCCTGCGCATTTGTATATTATAAATAAATCCAATCGATTCGATAAGTCTTTGTGGCTATTGGCTTTGATCTAATTATACGCGCTTCTTGGGAAACTTTCGCAGCTGGGAAAGTTCTCCTTGGAACTGGTTTCCGCAATTGACCCAGTCCCACTCCAAGTTAACTTTCCACGCAATTGGACAGAAGAAATAAAATGCAAAGCGCAAAAAGAGTAACAAACCAAACACAATTTTACGGATACAATAGCGGTCAGAATAGTAGCATTGAACGAGTTCTAAACTTAAGTGGTTTTATATTGTAGAACATTTTGTAAAAATAGTAATATAAATATTTGATAAGAAAAGTATAAGCAGCAAAGAAATGGGATTATTTAAAAGACTACATATTTGAGTTTTTCTACATTATGGTTGTATTCATGTAAAGAAATAGTCCCTAAAATTTCAATTTATATTAACATTATACTACTACTTAAAAAACTTTTTAAATTTAATTTGAAAATGTATGGATATTTTTCTTGACCGCGACTGTGCCAGTATGACAGCAGAGCGACAATGAATACCTTTTGCGAATTGCTGCCGCTGTCGCTCTTAATGTGCTGTGGAGGTCGTTCTCGCTTGTTATGCCTTCCATCGAGATCGGGCAGAGCGCGAACGTTGCGAGCATCGGTCATTGGACCGTGGCTGCTTCGCTCCCGCTGCTCCTGTTTCTCCTCTGCTGCGCAGTCGCCATCGGCACCACCACCACCATCGCGCCCAGTCCCAGCCCCAAGCATTACCACCACCGCCATCAGCAGCAACAGCCGCAGCACCCCCACCATCACCACCACCACCCGGAGCGTGCCACGCGAAGGCGGCTCAGCTTTGTTTTGTATCTTTTTGTGCTTGACTGCGGCGCTGGGGATGCGAGTGTACGGGCTTATATGGGGGATGCATATGTGTGCTCGCCCAACTATACTCGCATATATATTTAATATGTTATATGGCTGTCGTATATCTCTGAAAGTTGCACTATCAAGACGAGGAGGAAGTTTGTCGGCGACGATGATGTCGTCCAGGGAGATGGTTATGTCCCATTAAGTCTCATGTAGGAAAAGCAGCAGCAGCAGAACTACTCCTTGAGGAATATAAGACAAAAGGGGATTATAAACTATTATGTTTAAATTAAAATTTAAAGCTTATTTAAAGCTTATTTGCCAGAATCCAGACCTTAAAAACCAATATTCTTCAGAAAAAATAATATGCACTTTCTGGACTAAATGAAACTATCCATTGTTTACATTCTAAAAAAGGCTTATCTAGTAGAAGCAAACTAGCAAGGCGTTGGATTATATGTTTTTCCCCACTTCTTAGTATGATATCAATTTCTGTTTCGAATGCAAATGCGTCATTTGCAGTTCTCGTCAGACATCCGAGTTTTATCGTTATTCGAGTTTCGAGGAAGTTGCCCAAAGCTAGATCCATTTTCCCGTTGCGTTTCTGGTTCAGATCTTGTGTGTTGGATCTCACGTAGAAGGGAAATGGCGTTCTGGTGGGATGGCTGAATGGATGCTAGTGGGGGCGATGGGTTTATCAAATATCCCATCCGCTGTGGTGCGCAGATAGCGGCAACCCAGTTTCCGATGATCAGCGCTTCCCCTCTTGGTGGCATGGGCTAATTGATAACCTTCCGCTCCCGTTGATTCGCGTTGATTTTGCTGTGATTTCGCTCAGTTCGCAGCGACTGACAACGGGGAAAGGTGCTCAAAGCTAGGCTAAGCTCGCAGAGATTCTAAATTCTATTGTGCTTTGAATATTATTAGAGGCTAATTAATATTTGCTTATTTTCTAATTTTCAGCCAAGTGCAATTTCGACCAGGAGACGAAGCCACATCGCCTCAATCTGGATGTGGGCGATGCGGTCATAATACTCAAGGAGACCACGCACTGGTACTACGGCTACAGGCAAAAGTGAGTATAATATACAATAATAAATCTATGAATGTTTAAACTCAATAAAAATAGTAATCTTTTATATAAGATGCTATTTATTAAATACTAACTTCTCCCAATAAATTTCTAAAAATACATGTAATTATACACCCGTAACACCTAGCCCAAGCAATAAATACTTTTTTTGAAATTGTCAGTCTCAAGATTTCATCAATTTGTTTGTTAAGTATGCAGTGCTATTATTTCAAACTCGGTTTGTTGTCTAATCAGCAATCTCAGTGAGATCTTTTCCCCCGACTTTCACTGCAGTCTCGTTAGTCTAATGCATATGCATGAGCTGAGGGAAAACATCCCATTCCATCCCATTCCCGACATTAGCGGACAAAACAGAAAACAGCAGCAAAAGTTCAGAAGCGGAAATGCTTGAAACAGATTTTTCACAGGCAGAGCAGGCCGGAGCGAAGCGATCGTAAATCAGGTACACAAGCGCCGCCCATTTGGTTTGGCCTTTGTTTACTCCTCCAGACCCTGGTTATTTCGGGGGAAATCTGTGCCAGCGGCTGCCCAGCGCTCCTTCATCCTTCCTCCGACCAGTTGCCGCCATGTGGCTGCCGCATCGATGTCGAAAGATAAAGTTTTCTTTGCCCCTTCCACCATTCAATATTTATATATTTGTATGGTCTTCTGACCTGACCCTTTTGCTGCCGCTTGGTGTGTTTGTGGCTTTGGGCTCGTTTCATTTTATGTACATATGTATCTCGCTGCTCTGGTTGCTTGTACGGGTTTTATCTGGAGGCGCTGGCCACCACGTCTTCTTATCAAGAAAAACGAGGAAAACGAGAAGAACAGAACGCCATCCGAATTGACGGGGCTGACCTTTTTCCATATTTCTGCTGACCCAAACAACCCCACTCCAAGTGGAACCAGAGATTCAGAGATGGACAGCACACACAGACAGAAGCACAGCAGATAGCCAGACATCTCGGATGGAAGAATAAATATATACGATGGGTAGCGAAGAAAGTAAATAAATAAATAAATTCCCCGATCGCAGTGAGACCACAGTAGGAAAAACCAGTTGAAATCCAGAAGGTGCTCTCCCTTAATTTGCCTTAATTGTGTCGAATAATTCCCACACTTCACTGTGTGGAAATTAAAGGCGAGACGAGACGATACTCGATACTGCTGATAACCTCTTTGGCCCGAATTTCATGTTTGCTTTCGGTTCTCTGGTTCTGGCTCCTCGTAAAATTCCTATTTTTGTTTGTAGGAAAATATCAATTTTAATTGTACATTTTCTCACGATTTTAAAGCGTAAACATTGAAAATTACAACGATTCTCTGTCTGGGCGGACAGGGGGCATCGAAATCAATTGGCAATGCTTAATCAAATCGAAGGTTACACGGATAGAGGGGAGGAGAGAGATACCTTAACCGAACGACCATATAGAACTTTGGCCAGAGTTCAGGGACCTGTGGAGGGAATGGAAGATACGAAGGGGCAGCTGATTCTCTAAGTGATGAATGCCTCGAGCAATTAAAGCGGCCACCCCGCATGTCAAGCGGCGAATTGAGCCAAATTACAGCATTCCAATTCATCCGACAATGTCACACTTTGAGCGCACTTCCTCTGCAGACGCCGCAAACAACACTGAAGATATTATTTGAAATTTAAATATGGAAATATACAATTTAAACAATTTTTTATTATAGATAAAAAAAAACCTCACCATTAAAATTTACCTTATATATTGTATAATACCCAGAGATATAGAGTATTACTGACCACTTATCCTTATTTCTTAAAAATGACAATTTGTATAATTAGTTCTACTTTCAAGGAAGCAAATTATTATTTTTTCAAGTGTGGTACACTTTCCTTCACTCCAAGATCCCCTATCGCTGGGCTCGGGTTGGGTAATTCATCATCAGCCGCGATGGCTGCGTTGAATGGTGTCATATATGTAAATATAAAGTGTCCACAGAGAAGCATCGCGTCAGTTTGATTCAAAATGCTTCACTTGCCCCATAAAGGGAAGCCACAAAGTGAGGCTTCACTGTACAGACTGACTGTAAAACACAAAGTGGCAATTTGTTTTCCCTTTTTTATGTTGCATCCCATGTGCATGCCACATTTTAATGACTCCTCCCCCTCTTTATTCATATTATTGTTGCAGAGCCAAGGAAACACGCGGCATATTTCCCAAGAGTTATATACATTTGTGCGAGTACAATATCGTGAACGGGGAGTTTTGCATTCAGCGAACGGATATTGTTGAGGAGATCACCAAAGTGCTCCTGGAGTGGGGAGGCATAGCAAAGGACTACTTTCTGGTAAGCTCAAATGTCTTTTTCTAAAAAAAAGCCGATTCTTTAATAAATGTTTTTGTGGCCATTGCAGTCTACAAATCCCAGCTTTCCAAAGATTCGCCGGAAGATGAACGAGTTAAACAATAATCGGGCGGCCTTGATCTCTGGAAATCTGCCTCTGGACGAGGTGCGCAAGGTTAAGCTGCAGGCCACTAACCAGATTGATACGGGTAACAAGCTCCTCGGCCTGGACATGGTGGTAAGGGATGAGAGCGGCAACATTCTGGACACCAATGCCATTTGCACCACCGAGCTGTACGAGCAGCACGTGCACGCCATCCAGCGTATCGACAAGGCCAATGTGAGTTATTTAAAAGTGAAGATATATATTTATAGGTAATTATAACAATTCTTTGTTTTCCCTTTAGCGGCTTTCCACCGAACGCGGAACGACGCGAACCCTGAACAAGTTCTCGCACAACATCCTGCTGCACGTGAACGCCTTCGTTTGCAAGTTCCAGGAGGATTCCGACCTGCTCTTCACCCTCTTCGACGGAGAGACTCACAAGCCCATCAGCGAGAACTATGTGGTAAAGTGGTCACGCACAGGAATCGCTCGGGACATCGAGCAGATCGACAACAACCGAGTGCTTTTCACCGATCTCAGCAAGAGCGATCTGGGCATCGCCAAAATGTACCTAGTGTGCTATGCCATTCGCATCGGAGCCATGGAGTTCAAGGAGTCAACGGATGGCAAGCGGACCAGCATGAGCATAGCTAACAGCATGCTCAATGCATCCAGTCGCAAGGCTTCGCAGCTGTCGGTTAGTTCTAGTGGTTCCTCTGGCAGTACGGGCGAGTATATCATCCGGCGGCCCTTTGGAGTGGCCTGCAAGGACCTCACGCCAATCATCAGTAAGGCGGAGGACTTTCGCGGCAATTTGGACTTGCCGTTCATTATGTGCGACAAGGATACGCTGGATGGAACGCTTCGCAAGCTAATCAGCAACAAGGACATTGGCAAGATCGACTCCAAGATGGCGGTGACCATCGAGGTGCTGCGCGGCGACATTAAGCAGATTAAGGAGGATTTCCCACGCCTGGTGCACACCAACGTACCAGTGGCTCGCAAAATGGGCTTCCCCGAGGTCATTCTGCCCGGTGATGTGCGCAATGATCTCTACCTGACCATCTGCAGCGGAGAATTTGCGCGCATTGCCAAAACCTCGGAGAAAAATGTGGAGGTTTCAGTGTGTGTGGCCAACGATCAGGGTTACCTTATTCCCGGTGTGCTCAGCATTGGAGCCGGCCACCCACCCATTGATGAATACAAATCAGTGGTGTATTACCACGATGACAAGCCCAAGTGGCAGGAGACCTTCAAGATCCACGTGCCCATCGAGGACTTCAAGCAGTGCCATTTGCGCTTTGTGCTCAAGCACCGCAGCAGCAACGAGCAGAAGGATCGCACCGAAAAGCCATTCGGCCTGGCCTACGTACGCTTGATGCAGGCCAACGGAACGACCATTCCCCAGGGCCAGCACATCCTCGCCGTCTACAAGATCGATCACAAGAAGTACGATAAAACGGTGGCCAACAGCTACATGGAGCTGCCAGCCACAGTGGCCGAGTTGCAGGGCACTAGGCCCTCAACCAGTGGACTTAGCCTGCTGCCCAAGGACCAGCTCTCAATTGGCGTCAACTTGTGCAGCACCAAACTTACGCAGAGCGTGAGTCTGCTTGGCCTCCTCAATTGGTCCGCCCACAAGGAGACGCTGGAGCAGTCACTGACTGCCCTGTCCACGGTGCCCGGCGAGGAGGTGGTCAAATTCCTGCAGGACATACTCGATGCGTTGTTCAACATCCTTGTGGAGAACGACCAGCCCGAGAAGTACGATCAGCTGGTCTTCATGAGCATCATACATCTGATTGAAACCGTGTCCGATCTCAAGTACCAGCACTTTCTCACCGTTCTAGATGTGTACATCAACGAGAGTTTCTCCTTTACGCTGGCGTATACGTAAGTAGATGGTTGATTTGGCAGAGATTCAACGGCTAACTAATCTTTTTTTAACGACACTTAGCAAACTAATGGATGTGCTGCAGAAGAACATCAGCGATGCCATAACGCCGAAGGAGAAGTCCGTCGACGGGAACACGCACGAGGAGAGTGCAGAGGTCCGACGGCTCTATAAGACCACGCGGTACCTGCACTACGTAATGAAGTTTGTGATCCGTTCGCGGGTGCTTTACGCCGAGATGAACTGCAACACGGACTACGTGGACTTTGCCACGCGGCTGCAGGAGCTGCTACGCATGTTCATCGATATGATTGGATGTCCCAGCAATCTGCTAAAGTCCGAGGGAGCGCTGCTCAAGAACCTGCACATTATAGCCACCGATCTGATGCAGGTCTTCGATCAGGTGCGCTTGAGGTGGGTTGCTAGTTGAAATAATATTAAAAAATTCTTATAATTAATTAATTATTAAATAATTCATTTTATAGCGTATCTATTGTGGAGATCCTCGAGAAGTTCCCGCCACGCCGACTCACACAGTCCAAGATGGGCTGCATCAAGGATTTTGTCGACACAAAGCTCTTCACTTTGCCCAAATGTCGTGCCATTTTGCTACCCGTGTTTTGTAAGCACATCAGGGATCATCTCGAGAGCAAGGAGGAGGTAAGTCATCGAGTCATAGCCGCATTGCGTGTGCCACTAATTTACCATTTGGAAACTGCATTTTGTTCTTAATCCGATGCATCGTCTTCGAAAATTGTCTTGTGAATGCAAACGCCGGCAAGACGCAAAATTAAAACATAACCCAAACACATGATCAAGTGTCAAGACAGCTCCGAAAGTAACTAACTAAATTCAGCTTAAATAATTAAATACGAATAATTTTGGCGTTCCCACATTTGCTTATGTTACTGTCTTAACTTTCATATAATTAATTAAATTTCAATTAAGTAAAACGAAAGGTAAAGGAATTCATTTCAGAAAGCTTTGAATGTTATATCTCCATTGTTAAATTAACTCTATTAAAGCCATAAAACAATTAATTTATACCATAAAATAAACTATTAAAGGCTTTCAAGTTGAAATGTTCAACAAAACCTTAATACAAAAACTTGTACCATCAATTACATACATTATTACTCAGGGACATCAAACATACCGGCAATATTTTAGGATCTTGACATGTGAATTTGTCTTAATTTTGCTCAGTTTTAGTTTGAATATATATTATTAACTAGTTAAGCGTGTGTTTATCCTGCTAGCAATGTTTATTTAGTGTTAAGCATGTTGCATTTTGGTTACTAGTGATTTTTAAGAACGTTTTTGGCATGCAAATTCGATTGATTTTAGTTTTTATAATGTTAATGTTATGTTGTGTGTCTTGTGTCCTAGTTTAGATCAATGTTTTGTCCTACACCTAAGCAGCACACAAATTATTATACAAAGTAGTGACTTAGCCAAGTGACTTGCCCACGATAGCTCCATGTTAGTTAGCGATCTTCCTGTGTGTGTGTTAATAGCGATATCCATCTGTCCATGGGGCGTAGCGAACTCATGTAAATGTTGTGTAAACATTTCACAGGCGTGTTTAGTTTTGGCCAATTTAGTATTGCACCCGCTCATCCACAGTCTCATTGTCATTGTTAGAGAGCAATTTGCATTCAGAGCACCTCACAAATCACATCACACACACACACACAAAAACCACCTGGGAACACACACACCGAAACACCAAACACACCCTCGCAATTGTGAATGTGCAATCTCTACACACTGGCACCGTATATCTATCTGTCTGTAACTCTTCTCTAAATCATTACCGCTAAGTGTTTCTCGTTTTCGTATCCAAATATCAATCAAAATCAATCCGAATCTTTATTCACGCACAACCCAACCCAACAATCGACGTGTTGCTATCGCTATTGCTTGTACAAAAACTATAGGGAGACTCGAAAACCGATATCTGGCAGCAAGAAAAGAATCTTTCGAAAGCCGCCAAAGTGCTCGGACAGAAAAAATCCCAACTGCACACATGTGATACTACTGCCAACAAAAAGGTAAAGGAAATGAATACATAACTCTCTCATCTAGAACTTCAGGTCGGGTGGGGTCGAGTCCCCCGTTCCCGAGATCAGCCTCAGAGCCCCCTTGAATTGTGACCCAACATGTTTTGTTTTATTATCATAAACACCTTACCGCCTAAGATTTCTATGTTGCCGCTTTCTTGGCCAGTCGCTCAGTTTTGGACTTGGAAAGCTTGCTCAGGCGGTGGGGGAAAATCCTGACCAGCCTCCGCTCGACATCCGCTAAGTTAGGCTTAAGTTGTTCCAGCTTTTTGCAATGCAATGTTCAATGGTTACGTGTTTTTTTTTAATACCTGCAATGTTTTTTATGTTAATTATATTAAACACTAATGTTAACCTCGCCCTGAGAAGCCCAGAGACAGACAGTTGGCGGAGTCCTGAAGAACTACACAGGCCGACAAAATTTGAAAAAATAGAAACCAAGAACTGGAACATACTTTTTCGATAGCTTTTTAAAAGATTTATTCGGTTCTTGGTTCTAAAAAAGCTGTCGACCTGTGCTATAGAAGAGTTATAAGATTTAAATAAGAAGCTATTTCGTTTGTCATTTTGTGAAATTGGGAAAGAGATAGAGAATTTAAAGCAGATTGTTTTTTACAGTTGTAAAACCTTTATCCTTTCCTAAATAGTCCCAATTTGACTTGAATTGAAAACTTGAAAGCAACCTTGCAATCTCTAAAAGTTAATCATTGCCTTGTTCCTCTCCATTTGTGACCCTCTCTAATCAATATCCTTTTTCGTCGTTAGATTGCCGAGTGCATCAACATCATGAACAATATACTGAAGCTGCTCTTCCGCTCGGATGTGGGCTCCACGCACAACGATGTCCGCGACATCATGATCATCTTGCTGCGCACGGTGATGAAGGCCGCCCGGGTTTTGGACAGAGACACGGGGCTGGTGGGCAGGTTTTTTGCCATCATGCTGGGTATCCTGCAGCGCATGGATGCCCAGCACTATGAATATCTGGTGAAGGATCTGCATCAGCGCGACGAGCTGAAGGACTTTGTCATAGAGATTCTGCTGGTGTTCGAAGAGCTGGTGTCACCGCACTTGAAGGAGGTTTTCCCGCGCGATTGGATGGACATGATCATGCACCAGAACACTGTTATCCTTGGAGCACTGAAGAACCTAAGTGTGGTCATAACAGACTACTTCCTGTGTCCGTTTGAACGGCAGATCTGGTCGAACTTCTTCCAGTGCTCCATCGCCTTCCTGGTGCAGTCGCCGTTGCAGTTGAACGACTTCAATGACAACAAGAGGCAGATAGTGTTCGCCCGGTATCGTGATATCCGGAAGGACACGGCGACGGAGATCCGGAAGATGTGGTTCCAGCTGGGCCAGCACAAGCCCAAGTTCATACCGCAGCTGGTGGAGCCCATACTGGAGATGAGCATGATCCCGGAGAAGGAGCTGCGTCAGGAGACCATTCCCATCTTCTTCGACATGATGCAGTGCGAGTACTACAGCTCCCGGCTGGAGCAGGAGAGCTACGGGGACACCAAGTTCAATAATGCCCACCACAAGGGGAACTTCTCCGACTTTAAGACGGCGATGATTGAGAAGCTCGACATCCTAATCGGAGCCGGCAAGGGCGATGCGGAGTACAAGCAGCTGTTCGAGACCATCATGATGCAGCGCTGTGCTGCGCACAACACCTTGAATGTGGATGGTACAGCCTTTGTGGAGATGGTCACCCGGCTGATGGAGAAGCTGCTGGAGTACCGCTTTATCATCCAAGACGAGAGCAAGGAGAACCGCATGGCGTGCACCTTTTCGCTGCTCCAGTTCTACTCCGAAGTGGACCTCAAGGAGATGTACATTCGGTATGTGTACAAGCTCTGTGCCCTCCACATGGAGTTCGAGAACTACACCGAAGCGGCCTTCACTCTCAAGCTGCACACGGAGCTGCTGCGGTGGACGGACACGGCGTTGTCGCTGCAGCTGCGCAGCTTCCGGCATCCGAACTGCGTAACCCACCGCCAGCTGAAAGAGGCCCTCTACTTCGAGATCATGGAGTACTTTGACAAGGGCAAGCAGTGGGAGTGCGCCATCGACATGTGCCGCGTGCTGGCACGCCAGTACGAGGAGGAGACCTATGACTATCTGAAGCTGGCGGAGCTATTGAAGATGATGGCCATGTTCTTCGAGAAGATCATCAAGGAACTGCGCCACAATTCCGAGTACTTCCGGGTGTGCTTCTACGGCCGGGGATTCCCGCGTCTCCTCCAGAACCGCGTTTACATCTTCCGGGGCAAGGAGTACGAGCGGCACAGCGACTTCTGCGCCCGGATGCTGGTCCAGCACCCGCAGGCCGAGCTCATGCAAACGTTGGAGGCGCCCGGCGAGGACATCACCAACAGCGACGGTCAGTACATACAGGTGAACAAGGTGGAGCCGATAATGGACCAGTCCTACAACAAGTTCAACGACAAGATCGTAAACAACGAGATCGTCAAGTACTTTGCCGCCAACAACGTACAGAAGTTCCAGTTCTCGCGTCCCTTCCGCGACAGCAGCGGCGGTGGTGGTGGTAACATGGACGATGTGAGGAATCTGTGGCTGGAACGCACAGAGCTGCTCACCCGCTTCCCGCTACCGGGAATACTGCGCTGGTTCCCCGTCATTGAGACCAACACTTTCAAGATCTCGCCGCTGGAACGGGCCGTTGAGATAATGAAGGACACAAATCGGGACATTCGGCAGCTGGTCATCCTGCACAGGAGCGACGACAAGCTGCACATCAATCCGTTGAGCATGAAGCTCAGCGGCATCGTGGATCCGGCCGTGATGGGTGGCTTTGCCAAGTACGAGGAGGCCTTCCTCACCGAAGAGTACTTGGAACAGAATCCCGACGACAGGGACCTGGTTGAGGAGCTAAAGGAGCTAATTGCTAATCAGATTCCTCTGCTGGATATAGCCATTGGAATTCACCGACAACGGGCGCCCGACAGCTTGAGGGCAATGCAGGAGCACCTGGAGGATTGCTTCAGTGAGATGCAGCAGCATGTGGAGTTACGCTACGGCTGCCGGGCGTGCGACCTGAAGAGCGTACGGGATACGGTGGTGATGCGACGCACCAACTCTATACTGCCGACCCTCTTCGATGGCAGCAACATCAACCGGCACTCGGAGACGAGCATGGGTTCATCAGAGTAAGTCTTCCTCCATGTTTTGCTGAACTAAAGCCTAACCTGTGTCTTGGTTTCTTTTGCCAACTTGCAGCAGCGGCCTGTCGAAGTCAACGTTTCTGCCGCGGCCACAGACCTCTTCGATCAAGACCACTCTGGCCAGCTTTAGCTTTAACACCAGGTGAGTGAACGAAGGTTATTGAAAGCCCCGCCCTAACCAGATAACTCTTCTTCTGACCTCTCTCCATGCTGACTAACCCTGCTGCACTCTCAGCTTGAGGCTGTAATTTGCATTTTCATTTTGTTTGATTTTTCAATTTGATTTTTTTATTTTTGTTTATTTAAATTTGCGTTCTGTTGCTTATTCTTCTACGCTTACCATGTCCAGACCCAGTTTGGGACACTCGCCGAGCACCAAGAGCAGCAAGACCAAGGACAAGACCCCCGCCAAACGGCGATCCATGAAAAAGGTGAGTAAGGGCTTTTATTATGGATCTCTGTAACTAACCGACTCTTTAAAACAGGATCGCGAGGCCCTCAGCTTGCCCAGCAGTCAGTGGTATACCCCGCCATTGAGCACCATTACCTCGACGCCCGAGAAGGAGATCAACACGTCCATAGCATCTTTGGGCAGCGTGTCCAACAGCTCTTTGAGTGGTCCCAAGACGCCAGATCCTCATGTCCTCACCGAGGAGGTAAATTCGAAAGGAATTAAGGTCTGGAGTCCACCAACTAACTCTGTTAACCAACTTTTAGCTCACGCCCAAGCGACCTTTGCGCTCGGAAAAGGAAAAGGAGCGCCGGCTGTCGCGCCCAGCCAGTATAGCCACGCCCACGGCCAGCATCAAGAACTTCCCCGACACACGATCCCTGTCCGAGAGCAGCAATCGCAACTCAGTCGGTGGGTTAACAAGACACATAAATAATTTAAGTTCCATTTCATTAACCAATTTCTTTCTGTAACCGCAGAGACCACAGATTCCACATCGGAGGAGGACATTCAACCGCCGCCGTTGCCCGCCAAGGCCCGAGATTCCACGGACTTTTCCAGCCTGTCTCAGAATATGGATTGGACACCCAATGGCTATGCGATGCTGGGCACCCTGAGCAGCACCAGCACCAGCAGCATGAGCACCACATCGACCCTGACAAAGACCAGTATTACGAACACCACGTACGAGTATTTGGAGGCCACTAACTTTACCCTAGTGGATGGCAGCAAGCCACGTCCACCGACGCCGCCGCCGAAGCCATCGCGCCACAGCAAGCACATTCCATGATAAGGGTTAGCCGAGGGTAAAGGTGTGTCTCTGTCCCAAAGCTTCCAGTGTAGCGCCATAAAAATGTTGAAACGTTTACGTTGTCGAGTGCCAAATATGTTGTATTCCTGTTACTACATGTATAGCGGCGGCAATTGAGCCACAAAGCACCGACCTATCGCCTCAACCTACGACCAAATCAAGTGTCTTAAAAAACGATCGATCGCATTAGATTATCCGATTACTTTTAGCTTTGGTGTTAAGTGTTTCGCTTACGTTTAAATGATATTATGTTGAACATGCGGTCATTTTTGTCGTCAACTGCTTGTCTTCCACAAGTACTAAATAATAATGTGTGTTGTACCTTAAGTTATCTACAACTTAGTTATAAGCCGAAAGCTGTAATTCGTACGTTTCTTTATGCAAACAAGTGCCACAAGTCTATATGCAATAGCAACTATCTACGATTTTACGAGCATGCATATTAATGGTTTTAGCACAAATTTACTAACAAGTCAATTACAAAAACGAAACGAAATCTTGTATGCCTCAAATTTTAGATAATGTAATTTTTTAAAGAATGCATATTTACACTGCTGTTTTTTATTTTTTTTTGAACGATTCAGAAATAGCCATAATTTAGAGCAACTAACCGATGAGATTAATTCGGTAGACGTATTATATAAATACTATATATATCAAGGCACAACTATTTTAACAATGTCGAGTATACACATGTATATTTCATGTTTAGCAACAATCAATGTATAATTTTCTTGTGTTTTAAATGGATTCTGTGTAATTCGCGATCTGTGTATCGGCCAAAGATTAAGCAATAATGACTAGCATTAAGCGTTTGACCATTATGTTACCTGTATTAAACTATATACAACCTTGAACCTTGAAATAAAGAACAACTTACAATTTTATTTGGTTATAAAACGTTTATTCAAGATATTTTTTGTTATGTGGTTTCTTCTTATATTAGTCGGACGTAAAAACCTGTTAAAATGAACACATTAACAAGGGGGAGGGATTAAGATTTGGTTAATTGTTAATAAATAGTTGGGTCAATAAGTCAGATAATGCAGTGAAGTATATAGGATAATTTATAGAGATGGAAAAACATAGAAGAAGAATATCCATATCTCTGTACTATATTGTTATTTTGAGACACATAAGCTATAAATTTATAGTCGGACTTTTTTTTATTAAACGAATATAATAGTAAAACATGAGGAAAACCCAACTAGCCAAAGTTTGTATACCCTTGCAGTTTGTAATTGGATCATGGGACCTTTTCGTATTCTGCATACTTAATAAAATGTGAATTTTGGACAACTTTAACGACCCTATAAAATTAAAAAAGAAAATAGGTAAATGTTTTTCTTGACAATTCAAAGTTGTTTTACCCATAACTAAGACAAGACAAAAATGAATTTAATATTTGAAAATATTAAAAGTTTTGTTTATTTGTCGACAACCTTAATTGTGTAACCCCTTATAATATTTTGAAAAAAGGGTATACCATTTTTTCTGACAAATGAAAGCTTAAACAAAAAAGAAAGCTAACTTTGGCCAGACAATGTTTGTATACCCTTGCAGGTAACAATTAAAATATATCATAACTAAGCCAAAAATGCATTAATTTCGATTCGGAAAGCAGTTTTGTGTTAGTTTTTATTAATTTAAAAAAACTGCATACCAAATTACAAATTTTAAGAAATCAAAATTTTTGGCCATTTTTGCTAATTTTAATGATGTAACCCCTTATCAAATTTCGCAAAAATGGCCAAAAAATCGATTTCTTCCGGACATGTCTAGAAAGATTTGCATGTTAATGCTGATCAAGAATATATATGGTTTATGGGGTCGGAAATGATTCCTTGACTTAGAAAAATATTATTTTGTATTATAAAATCTAATTTTTTATATTAAAAAAGTCTTGATTTTTTTAAATTAAAAATATTATAACCCGGCCAAAATTGCATTAATTTTAAATCGGAAAACTGTTGTGTGCAAGATTTTCTACAGTTAATCTGCATACTTCATTTAAAAATTTTGAAAGTTCAATTTTTTATCAAAATCAAAAATTTTAATGATGTAACCCCTTATAAAAATTTGCAAAAATGGCCAAAAAATCGATTTCTTCCTGGCATATCTAGAAAGATTCCCTGTTGATGCTGATCAAGAATATATATACTTTATAGGGTCGGAAACGTCTCCTTCACCGCGTTGCAAACTTCTGACTGAAATTATAATACCCTGCAAGGGTATAAAAACCAAAAACTTAGTCAAAAAAGAATTAATTTCTATTTGAAATGAGCTGTTTTATTAGATTTTATTAGGTTAACAAATCTGCATACTGAATTTAATATTTTCAAAAATTAAAATTTGTCAATTTTTGGCAATTTTGAAAAAGGCGAACAAATTTGTTTCTTCCCGCGATAGCTAGATAGACATGCCTGTGAATATATATGACTTATGAGGTCAGAAATGACTTTTCAGTGACTAAAATCATAATATCCCTCAAGAAGACCGGAAAGAGAAACGTTGATCAAATTTTCGGATATTTTTCGATAATATCTATTATTTAACGATAAATGCAATATTATTTAATATTTTAAAGTTGAATATATAAAAAATAGGACAGACCTCTTGGGCCGATATATGCACATCCCTAGTTTCTATATAGAATATATGTATAAACCAAAAAACGTCTATGTTTTTCCATCTCCTTTAGATTCGTCCTGAAAGTAGGACCTTAAGCTTAGTAAATTTTAAAATGGCTTTTGATTCTCCCCATCGAAATGAAGGCACATAATAATAATACAGTTTGAAAATGCACGGAATGTTCGTTGTTGTTCAGGGACATCAGCGGAGTCCTGAGATTTGAGACCAAAGTGTAAGAGAGCAGAGGGAGCAGAAGCTGGAACACAAACAGGACTTAGACATCAACGCCACGGCTCGAATGCAGGTCAACGCAGATCTTAGAGTTGCGGTTCTGCTTCTGACTTATCTCTAGCACTTGGAACATCTCCTTAAGGGCCTCGCTGGTGCCCGTTTTGCGACGGTTGCGCCTCCGCAGGGTCACGCCACCCGACTTGAACTCTCGCATCAGAGCGTCAAGACCTGGGGGAAAACAAAAGTTAAATTCAATTTAATTCGTGGTTCCTGGGCTTTGCGGTGGAATTACATTAAGTAGCTGGCTAGCGGAAGCTTATCTGACATGCGGTTAGCTGTTGTGGCCCAAGGAGCAGCCGAGATACTCACCCACCAACGCAATCGAGTAAGCCCGGGACTTTAAAGGGTGTTTTATTTGGGTAAGGTGGCAATTGGACATAAATCACGGGACAAAGGCCAGAGAACGGGTTGCGGAGTACAGACTGTCACCGGCGACAAATGAAGCTGGAGACACATGTACTCTGGGGCTACAAGTCAATGGAAATGTAAGGTCCACTACGCCTTAAGGCGAGTGTGTGTGTTTTCAGGGGAAAGACCAGGAAAAGTGAACGGGCGCCAAGAAAAGTGGCGCAATAAAACACGGAAATATAAAACGCACAAATAATAATAATAATAAGCCTGGACGGGAGCAGCGGCAACAATGCGGCTTGCCTGCTGGCGCCTCTGTTGCTTCTAGTTCTGGAACGGTGCTATGGCTTGGGCCCCTCTCCTCGTAAAAATAATAAATTGCGTCCTCTACACCATTGCCATCATCATCGTCGACGTCGTCGTCGTCGTCGAATTTGATACGGTCTCCTGGCTTGACAGGGGAGAATGGAAACAGGAGTGGGCCGGGAGGCGACATAAAGCTGCAAAAGCGAGCGTAAAATATAGGAAAAATGCGAACGCTCTACGCTTCACTTCGTTTAAAGCCGAAACTCTGGCAGGTTGCGCCAGAAAGGTTGCCAGGGAATGGAAGCCAGGCAAGTACCTTTTTGCTCCAGTTCCCTAGAAAGGGAAAGGGCACGGGGCTGGGGACACGGGTCGAACTTAAATCAAATTTAAGTTTTCAATGTATCGCATGGAACCGGAAATGCTACTCACGACGCTAAGAGCTTTAGTGTCGACAGGATATTGACAAATGTGTGCTGGAATTTCCGCTTCCGTTGTAAGGGTAGCAGGGAGCATCCCAATTCGTTTAAACCGATGCCAGGCCCGTAGATTTGGCAAAGAAGGCAGGTCATGGAGTCGGGCCTCCGTAGAAAGTAAAGCTGGCATTCTGGTGGCCATGGCAGCGACACCAACAATGAATGGCAGCAACTTGTTGTTATGTATACCTACGATGTGTGTATTGAGCCTGGACAATATCAGAATTTTCATTCGCTTCGCCTCGCCTCGCCACGCATCGCTCCACCTCGCTCTGCCTCGCTTCATTTGTTTTTGCGCCTTGCCGCCGAGCAGGACGAGGACGAACTTGACTTGACGAGTGCGGCCAGGACACGAGCAGCGCTGATGCCTAGCCGTAAAGCTGATGTACGGCTGGCTGCCAGCTCAAACGCTTCACGTGCCTCAAGAGACGCGCGCGCGTGTTCTCCGCTCCACTCCGCTCGCAACAAGGTGTCACGTTCCCTGTACAGATATATATATGTTACATATATATATATATGCTATATAGAGCTATATAGCTATCGTGGCGTCACTTTTCTGGCTTCCAACAATACGCGCGTTGATTGATTTTGATTTGAATGTGCGCTCGTTACGCATACGACGCGTGGTGCGCGCCAAAAAGTAGCCAAGAGCAACAGCAACATTGCTGAAGTCAGTGCCAAAACAAAACGGAAACGGAAGTGCTTAGTGACAGCGCTGGATTGACGCTGTGTATGTGAATGTGAAAGTGTATGACCGTGACATTGCAGGCCTGGTATCTAGACTCCTCGTTCGGGTAAGTGGACAAGCGGAGGATTAAGTGCCAGTTAAAGGCAATCGGCAGGGATTTTCCCTCCATTCACATTAAAAAGAGAAATTCTAGAGGCATAAATCATCTCATTAAACCTAGCCTATTTGCTTCTCCTGGTTCTGGGTCGATTCTAGTGTATATATACAAAATATTATATATATTATCCTGCTGCATACGCACACATGGACACAGACATACACAAAGGTGGAGCAACAATGTATTTACACTTTTATGCGGGTTGATTCAATTTTCAATCGAGCTCATCCCAAACAGGCTGCCCTGCCATGTGCAGGCGGCAGCTGATTTCTCTATTGACAACATTCAGATTTAAAGTCCAGTGCCTTTTTGCCCAAAAACGCAGTAGCAACCAGGTGTTTCACAATTGTTTCATCGCAATAAAAGCGTAAATTAAACGGCAAAGATGGCCCACAAGTGCAATGACTGAATAAACACTTCTCCTTGGCGGTATTTACATATATATACACATTTGTATATATAGTTCGCATTCCATTCTAACTCGGCTTCGCATTGTGTTGGCGAATGTACGTTATGAAATGATGACAGTAGGAAATTTCTATTACGCAGCTAAGTGGAAATCTCCACAGTTAATTGGGTTTCTGGTTAATATTTAGTTTAACTAGAGGCTGGAGCTTAAAGTTTAAAATTGTATTATGTTATTGAGTTCTCTAACTAAACTGTTTTAGGTTCTTGTTTATTTTTCACTTGAATTTAAATTTCTATATTAATAGATAAATTTGCTCGATTTTCATTGTCTGTCTACTGTTGTTAAGCTTTGACCTTAAAGATCGATCGTAAACCATGGTTTACTACATATAATATTGGTTACAGTCGTCAATGAAAAATGAATCTATTTACGACTTTTTAATTAATTACGAAGAATGCGACATGAAAATAACTTAACTTAACTATAGTTCAGAGTTTTAATTCTAAGCTCAGTGGATTTAAATGTGGGTTAGTATACAAGCTTTCCAGCGTTAATGCCATACAGGCTACTCGTGCCAGTATTCCCTATTGTTAGTAGTCCTGTCGCGGTAGACTTCTGTCCTCTCACTCTTCCAAAGAGCTGCTCGCAAACTTAATTAAGAAGTTGCTGCTGCAGCAGTCGACAGTGAACGGCACGAGGATGGCCCAGGAGGGGGCAGCAGGAGCGGAGCTAGTGAAAGCCTGCATTGAGCCGTAAAAGAACCCGACGTGTAGGTAAAATCAATTACAATCGCAGACGGGTTGTTGCGTTGCGTTGTGTTGCGTGTGTCGAGCGGAGAAGGGCGGTGTATGAGTGGCGTGGGGCCTAACTGACAATTGACAGCAACAAGTTGGGCCCTTCAAACAGATCTCCTCACCGGGGACACTGCGACACAATGGCAGGGCACTTGTCAACGCACAGCTGACAGGGGGCAGGGATTAGCCACAGACACAGCACACGGGTGCGAACATGAGTGGCCTGCCCGAAGGGGAGAAAGCTCCAACACTGATTCAATCAGCTTTTTTTCAAGCCAATTTCCCAAATTTAGCTGCTGAAATCGATGCTGGGCCATTGAAATGCTTCGATCCAAAGTATTCCAAGGACTTTTCCACTTGTGCATAGTTTCCGCCGTCGTCGAGGGAGTTCATCTAGAGAGCTCCTTCTTGAAGGGCACAACTTTTCAACAATGGCCAGAAGTTAACGGCGAGCAGCTCTAAAAGTTTATCAAATTTCATATGCGCTTATGAACGGTCTCAAAGGTAGGCTTCGGAATTGAAAAACAAAATCGTAAAGAAAAAAGTAAAACGAGGAAAATCCCGAGTCTGACCAAAGGCAAAAGGAAAAGTGTTCGTAGGTCATGAACCTTTGGGTGATAGATACACCCCTCAAGTCTGCCTTGGGCTACTCTGGTGGCCAGAGAATATTTTCTGCGGTGGAGTACATACCTGTAGCCGCCTCGGCCTGTACCTGATGCTTCACGTTCTCAATGATCTTGTCAGCGCTGCCTTTCCGCAAACTGTGCCCTGCAATGTGGTCGCTGAAGCTGCCGCCGCCAGCTGCCGCCGCACTGGATTTAGAGTTAAGTTGCGGAGGAGGAGGAGGAGGTGGCGGCGGTGGTGGAGCAGCCAGCGCCTTTTGCTCGGACTTTTGCTCTAAGTGGGCCAGCTTCTCCTCGGCACGGTCGGCCCGCATGTGAGCCTCGCGCAGCTGCTCCTCGAGGATCTCCAACTTAAGTTGTAATTTTTTTAGTTCATCGTTAGTAGTTTTGGCAATAGCCGCATCCATTAGACTTTGCTACAAAATGCAAGAAACGAGAGAACAAGGGTAGAACGGGGCGCGGGAGCGGGTGTGGCATGGTGTGGGTGTGGGTAAGAAAATTAGTATATATTTCAAAGCAACTAAGGGTCAGGGGTTAGTGCATCAAAAGGTAGGAGGAGCGTAAGTTGTGGGTGCAGGAGGCGGCGCACGGCAAGCGAACTGCTTACGTGTCTTGATTGGTTTTTCGGAGAGGGGTGAAGAGAGAGTGCAGAGAGGTGAGTTGTTGACCCGGCACCGAGATTAGCTAACAACACGCCCAGCTGGGCTCAATTCTGTGCATTTATCAGATTGTCGTGCAGGGGAGAAACGCCACCACCAGGTGATCGTGTTGTGGCTCAGTTGCTCTTGAAGATATTCGAGAGCGGCTTGAAAATGTCAAACACGCTGCGTGTTTGCTAAAGATTTGGATGGACAGATGGATAGAAAAGATTGTTTTGAAAGCCGTAGATTCAGCCAAGTGTTTAAGATCAACCATGAAACTGCAGACTAACCATTTCTACGATGCGCTCATTGTGCTCCCTCGCCTGCTGCTGCACCTGATCCTGGATCTGCTCGAACTCTGCCTGCTCGTTGAGCACGCTCGACGATGTGCTGACCCTTGATCCCGCCTGCTGCCCGTCGGTCAGATCCCGAGTCTTTGCTGTCAGCTCGTCATTGCGCTGCTTCAGCTTGATCAGAGCTGCCTCCATCCTGTAACATGACTTTGAATGGAATTGCTCCCCTTTACATTACTTGGTTGAACTCACTTCTGGCTGGTTTCCACACTCTCCTTCATGTTTTCGGTGAGCAGCTTGGCCACTTTCGTGAGGTTGCTGTTCTCCGTGCGAAGGGATTCGTTCTCCTCCTCCCATGAATGTTGCTGTTAAAAAGGCGAGGGAAGGAAAGAGGTAACTTCCATTTTACTTCAAATGCGTCCCCACTCACCTGCTCCAGCAGTTCGGCCATCTTCTCGTTGGCCTCGTACAGTTGCAGCTCCACGGCATTGGTGGCATTTTTCAGGGTGAGGAACTCATCGGCCAGACGTTCCACCAGGCCACTGGTGATGGGCACCTCATCCGAATTCACATCCACAAGGCTATCCAGATCTTGAGTGCCGCCGACACTGTCGCCACTGTCCGTGCTGCCCTGCTGCAGGATTTTGAACAGCTTTCGTTTGAGTTCCACGGATCCAAAAACGGTGCGAGGACTAATTAGAGGGGCCTGAACCGTCGTCTGCTTCTCGCGCATATGCTCCAGTTCGCTTGTGAGACTAAAAGTGAACCAGAACATACGTTAATTTGTTATATTTCAGATATAATAAATAATAGGGATTTATATCGAATATAATATAATGATATGACATCGACAGAACATCGATTAAAAATCAAATTTAAGATATTTCTTTCCAGCACTCACTTGTGTATCTGATCGACCTTCATTTTGTGCAGCTTGTCCAGGGCGTTTCTCTCGTTCAGAGCCTTGCTGAACTTGGAGCTCATCTCCTTGATTTGGGTCTCAAAGTTGGTCTGGTGCTGCTGTAAACTTTCCAGCTGGGCGCACAGCTTTTCGTGCTGAGTCTGTTGCTCCTCCTGTGTGGTTTTATCTGTAATAAAAGTCATTACAAGATGTAAAGGATTCTAAAAAACTAACTGAACTTACGCGTCTCAATCTCCAGCTTGAGCGCCTTGTTCTCCTCTCGCAGAGCTATGTTATCCTCCAGCAGCGTGAACATATCGTGCTCGGGGTCCTGCTCGTTGTAGTCCGGCTCCCGCACTCGACTCCGGCTGCGCGTCTTGGCCTCCTGGGTGCGGAACTTGGCCACTGGTATGCGTCCGCGTCTCTCCATCTTGCACCAGATCTATTGCCTGCGGCGGGGCGAACCAAAAGGATATGGTTGTTATATTTGGTGGACAAGTCCGGGGGGGTTAATTCTTAACTCTGCTTACGTTTCGCCTTAAAGCCAAAGTCCTTAACCTCTTCTTAAGCTAAGTGATGCAAATGGAACTAATGCTCGGCCATCACCAAATGATGAGTGTGTTTTGAGTTTTGGATGCACTGGAGTGAGGTGTGTGTGTGTTGTATATGGGGGAAGCTTGGATGGGTGGGTGTGCTGCACGGCATGCCTTGAAATTGATGAGCCCACATTAAAACGCTTTGCATGTTTACTTTTCGTTTTTATTATTTGCTGTTTACAATTTCTTCTTGATTTCGGTTTTATCTTGCTTTGCCTGGCGCTTGCCCGCCCCTTGCTCTAATGTCCCTGTCCTTCTGCCCATCAGGGCTGTGCTTCAGCTTCTGCTCCCTGTTCTCTGCTCTTGTGATCTTTTGCCTCAGCAGGTCCTGCTCTTGGGTACAAAATTCTACAGAAGTTGGCCGAAAGCATTTGGAATGCCTGCCGAAAGTTGCTACGAAACTAGTTAAAGTGTCACGCCTCGGAAATATTAGCTTGATGGCTCAGTGTGTCTGTGCAGGAGCGTTTCATTTACTTCCTCTCTTTCTCTGGTTTGTGGTTTTATATCGTTCCTTAACTATTTTAATTTAACTGTATTTTTGCCATCTGTTTATCGTTTCTTTTTGCTAATTACTTATGCGTACAATTTCCTCTGCCATTAATCATCGTCCTTCCTCATGTTTTGTCACTTGTAGTGTAAAAATAAAAAAAACCTAAAGTTTATACACAAATATGTCGCTACCGTTTGTTATGTTTTCGTTTTTGTTTTGCCTCGCTTTTAATATTATATATAAACTTTTGAGAGAGTTGCTTTGTTTTTCATTCAATTTTATAAAAATAACTAATTGAAGGCGGCTTAGAGCTCTTTGTTTTTGCTTGTTTTCGTTATGATTTTGTGTATGCTTTAATGCTTGAATGTTTTGTTTTTTGTTTTGTTTCTTTTTCAATTTGGTTTAAATAGCTATATAATTATGTGTTTCGAAATTAATATTAGTGTATTTTTTCTTTCCTTTTTACAGCTAATTTTAAGATTTATCTTTGGATAATCATCATGCTTTTCGTGTGCTAAATACTTTACATGTCTTTACGCATTTCATAATTTACAATATTTTTGTTTTTCGCTTTTTTTTTTCTTTTTAGTATACGTACGTATATTTTTGTTTACAAATTAATATTGTTATAATTTATTTATATATATTTATATAAATATTTATAATTAACTTTAGTTATAAGTGAAGATTCTGTAAGCGGGAGATACGGTTTGGGTTAACTTTTGTAATTTTATGTTTTGAGCCGTGTTTGCATTGAAAATACATATAAATAAAGAGATTTGTTTATAATAAATCAAACGAAAGAATAGGCGAATTCATAATACTTTGTACTGAAAGGTAAAAATAAACAACAAATTCGTTACAAGTCTATAGAGAAGTTACGCTAGGCTACGCACAGCTGGGCCAGCATACAAAACTGTGTCAGATCTTTAATTCAAACGAGCTTCAAACAAAATACTGCAGTTTTTAGAAGTAATTATATATATATATATATATATATATATATATATATATATTCTTATATAAATTGGATGCGATTGGAGCTCTTGAAAGGGGTTTTTGAATTTCGGAGATTCCTTTTCTAGACTAAATAGCTTTCCGTTATTGTTTGCTTTTGCTTTTTTGTATTTATTCATTTGATGCGACGAGTAAATGTGTTTAAATACGTGTTTATATTTGTGTTGCATTACTATGACCGAGTCATCGAGGGGGAATTATCTCTCTCTTGGCTTTCTCGTAAGGAACGTACGTGTTGTGGTGATACAAATAAATTGTTTTTGGTCAATGTGTCTTGAAGGTTTGCAAGGGAAATCTGTGCAGTGTTTAAAAACAAAGAATTTTCGTTTCTCCACAGATTCTTTTTGGATACATCGTACTACAAATTAGTGTGTGAGTGTGTGTGTGTGTGTGTAGGTTTTGGTGTGTGACTACGACCGCGCCACTTCTGGGAAATGACTTTCAAACGATGTTCTTGCTGAATGTTTCGGTTTGGCTGGCTTCGTTGTGGTGTCTTCCTGTTTTTTTGGGCTCCCGCTTCCCTTTGATTTGTTACATCTCCTCGATAAAGTCGCGCAGCTGGTCGATAAAGGGCCGGCGGTAGGCTGACGAGTGGCCAATCTCCAGCTTGTACCACTTGTCGAACGACTCCTTGGGTATCACCTCGCTGTCGTAGAGCACGCTGAACGTGCTGCATATTGTCTCGCCGGCTGCCATCTCATCGCCCTCGAGCTCGGCCATAAAGTGCTGCTGCAGAGAGTCCACCGCCTCGTCTATGCAGGCTATTTCCAGCGCCTCCTGGGCGTCAATGCAAAGACGCAGCAGCGGCGTGCACCTGGTGCGGAAGCTCTCTGTGTTTAGCTGCAGCTGCAGTGCCTTGCCGCCTCCCTTGTTGCTTTTAGTCATCACAGTCAGCGCATAATCACAGCACAGGAATTTGGTGAGCTGCCTCACAAAGTGCGCATTGATGGCCACGTTGGTGTTGATGTAGTCGATGGCCATGTCACAGGACAAGGCCAGCAAATATCTGATCCGCTCAACATGCTCCAGCGGCGAGCGTGGCGTCGTCGCGCTACTCGAGGCTCCTCCCTTTGCTTTTGGTTGTGTCTTTCCCTGGCCCTGGCCGGGCACGCCGTTGTTGTCCAGGAAGTAAAAGCTGTGCGACTGCACAAACTCGCGATACTTGCCAACATCGTTCCAGAACAATTGCCCGCGATCCAGCTTGTAGTCGTTGTGCCACACCTTGCGGGCATAGGCGGCCCCGAATTCCTGCACGAAATAGTTGACAAAGGCGAACACGAAGCGATCCGTGAAGAAGGAGTCCTCCAGCCAGCGCCTCTGCCACACATCCTTCAGATCCAGGCGACCAGAGTGCATGATGGGCCCGAGAAACTCAAAGACATAGCTCCAGCCGTTGGGAACGTCCACGAGGAGATCGGGGAACTCGTCGCTGAAACGTGTGTAGGCCTGGCCGAAGGTTGCCTTGTCCAGCGCCTCCTTGCTCATAAGGTAGGCAAAGACGTTGCCGCAGGCCAGACGTTGCTGGCGCTTCACCGCAGCCCCGTGCAGGTAGTTTATCATCAGATATTGCAACGTCTTGGAGTGCTGCTTGCCGCTGTACGAACGCCACATTACGAGGACCTCTGGCTGCCAGTCGCGCGTATTGAGAACCTCCTCCACCAGCTGGGTGATGAGCTCCTGGCACTGTTTGCCCGTGAAGGCGATGTCGGTCTGGTGTTCCACATGGCTGCTTCTATTGCCACCACTGACATGGACTGCTGGCAGGGGAGTGCCCAGAGGAGGTGGAGGCTGGTGGTACGGCGATAAACTGAAGTTCTGGCCGGGAGGCGGTAGACGCTTGAGCAGGGATGTGGGCGTAGGCGGCGGGACGCTGGTGTTGGTCGATGGTGGGCCGCTAACAGGACGGTTGCCACTGCGCCACTGGTAGTGCGAGGAGTTTCCCAGCTTAGCATGCGAGTCGTCGCTGACGTTGCTGCTGCTGAAGCGCAGTTTGCTTGGATCAATGCTCAGGGACTGGTTCTCGTGCTGCTGCTGCTTGGGCATCTTTTGCATGAAGTAATTGTTGCCGCTGTCATGGCCATGGTGGTGATGCTTCTGCTGCTGTTGCTGGTGATGCATCGGCTGCGAGTGCTGGCTCATTCCGCCGCCGCGGCTGCCACCGCCCCCGCCTCCTCCTCCACTGTGATGCTGTTGTTGATCCTTGGAGTCGTCGTGTGGCTTGTGACGTTGGTTTCGTGCACCGCCCTGGGTCTGGTTACTCGCCGGCTGATCCCAGTTCCGCACCCTCAAATCGAGCACGTCCTGCATCATGAACCGCACCCGACTACTGATCTTGATGTGCGCCTGCTGGCGATGTCCCGTCCCGCGAGACCGGTTCACAATGTCCTGGATGCGGCGGAAGATCTTCTCGATGCGGTCCCGCAGCTGGTACTGCTCGGGCAGAGTGGTCTCCAGCAGGTGGCCCACGGTGGTCAGAAGCTTGCACATGTACTCCAGCTTCTCCTCGCAGCCGTGCTCCAGCAGTGACTCGACGCAGTTCAGCACTCGGTCGCTGGTCAGCGATTGCAGCTTAAAGAGCTCGCCAATGAAGCGAACAGTGCCCCAGGCACGTCGTCGGAACTGGTACTCCAGGTCCTCCATTTCAGAACGCAGCTCGGCTTTCTTGGCGGGATCCGTGCACTGGTTGATACGATCCACAGTGGGCTGCAGCTTCTTGGCCTTGGCATTGGCATCGTTTACGTTCGACTCGAACTCGTGCTGAATGCGCGTGATCAGGGAGCTGGTGAAGAGTGACTTGTTCTCGGCCTTGATTTCGTGGAAAAGCACCTTGCAGAAGCGGGCATAGGTGGGCGCGAAATTCGGTTCACTAATGGTCTTTTCGAATATCAGCAGCATGACCTGAAAGGGATTCAGGGGTTAAGGTTAAGGGGTTAACAATAAAGTGGCATAGATAGCCTCATTGCTTTAAATTTCATAATTACAATACAAAATCCAACTTACATTTGTCATTTTCGCCTCATTGTCCATTTTAATGCTGGACATCTCCTTGAGCAGAACTTCAAAGTTGTCGGGCGTCAGCTTGTTGAGTATGCCGCGCACCTTCTTCAGCACGCCCTCCACATCGTTGTCCTCATCCTGACCCTGAGCCATGGATGTGCGACGCAGAGGTTCCGGCTGCCAGGCATTCTCACACTCCGATAGCTTGATCTCCTCCTTAAGCGAAAGCTGTACTCGGATTATGTCCATATGACGTTGGTTTGGATTGGATGCTAGGCCGCCGCCTCCGCCGCCCATGCCCCCAGAGCCACCGCCCATCTGCTGGTGTCCATCGTGGTGCTTCTTGTTGGCTCCATGGCCGCGACCTCGCTTGCCGGGAACATACTCCAGGGACTCGTTGAAGTTCATATGCTGGTATTGCTGGAATTGCTGGCTATGGGCGTGAGCATGGGTGTGGGCATGGTGCTGCTGCTGCTGTTGCTGGCGGGAAACGAACAGCTGCGAGATGCAGTCACCCTTCTGGCAGGGCACCATTGGTGGCTTGCGAGAATCGTTCAGTTTGGACAGCTCACGCAGTGTCTCCATGCTGTAGCGATAGTTCCTGATGGGAGGAATGGCAATGGCACCAGAGGCGGACCCGGAACTGGGACTGGGGCTCTTTGACTTGGTTTTATGTTGCTTGGCCTTAGGCGATGATTCTACTCCCTTGCCTTTTGCCTGATGCAGCGGCGAGCTCTTCTTGCTGCCGCCGGCGCTCCTTTCTCCGGGATTTACAATGGATTCGCCACTCACCTTGGGAGCACAATCCACATTGTCGCCGCTCTTGCTGCTGAAGGACGATGCATCGTCCGCTGCCTGGCTGATGGTCGAGCTGGACCATGTGGAGCTGCATATGAAACCGGTGTCCTGGCGCGCCGCCTCCTCGTTGAAGTCTCCAAACTTCAGGTCCACCATGACATTCTCTTCGATTTTGGTGCACACGACGACATCGAGGGCTGGCGGCTCATCTTCCTCGCACGCCGAGCTGCTGCTGTTAAGGAACTGTAACTGCTGTGTTTCCGAAAAGGATGCAACGGAAGTGTCTGGGCTGCTCTTCTGCAGAAACTTGGCCACAATCTCCTCGTTGGCCAAGTGCTTGACTTGGGGATTCCGGCTAGACATGCCGCTGTCTTCCTTGCTGTCAGCTGAGGGGAAGAGATGATAATAAGAACCACTGAAATATTTGCATTTTTGGATACTTACATTCAGCGTCGCTGTCTGCTTCGCCATCCATGTCGTCTGTGATGTCATCCTCGTCATTGTTATTATTGTTTTGGCTCATCAACTGCTGCGGCTCCTTGGGCCTCAGCACAGTGTTGTCGTCTCTTATTGTAGAACTTATGAAGCTAGGATTATTACTAGTTGTTGCACTAAGCTTATCAGTCGTCGGTTGCGCCGTGGCTTTGTCATTGACAGTTGTTGCCGTTCCGTCATGTTTGGTTGTTGTTGCCGCTGTTAGAGTTGTTGTTGAAGTGGTGTTGTTATTGTTTGTGTTTTCCTCCGGCTCTACTCCATTTCCTCCATTGCCCCTGTTGCCCTGACCTTGGCTGCTGCTTGTGGTGGTGCTGATTATCGTCGACTTTTGTTTCTTTTTCTCCAAATCCCTGGCCCGCTTCTTTGCCTTGCGCTGATTTTTGGTTATATTGCTGCTGTTGGAACTATTGGTGCCAGCGAGCTGGGTGACGGCCGCCGAGATGCGGTTGGGAGTCGGGACTGCTCTTCCCGCCACCTGCTGCTGCTGCTGCTTTGCCTGCTGCTGGACATTCACTTGATGCTGCTGCTGTTGTGGTTGCCTTTGCTGCCTAACCGTGTGTGTGGGGGTGGAGGCTGCCGATGAAGAGGCCCCCGAACTTGTCGTGGTGGAGGTGGCTGTGGTGGTCGCCAGTGGAGCAGTACTGGACTTTTTGATGGGCGACGCTGTCGGTACCGCTGTGGTCGCTATGGATTTACTGATGGGCTTCTGAACTGGTGGTCGTGAGCCTGGCGACGAGAGAGGCGTCTGCATTGGCTGGCTTCGGGACAGAATGGATATGTTGCCCGAGCAGCCGCTGGCCGTTGCCTCGGCCACGTCATTCGCTATAGATGTGGGCGTGGCGGTACCTTTAAGTAAAACAATATTTATTTATAGGATGCCAAAGGTAATCTCACTAGTCACATGCACTCACTTTGCTTGTTGGCCGACTTGGGGCGCTGCTTTTTGGCTGGCTCTTGGAACAGTACGGCGGGCTGGGGTCCCGCCTCGATAGCTTCAGTCGCCTGAGTCAATTCCTTGTGTACGAGTGGCAGGCTAGGATGGGTCTCCGTGACATTGTCGACTGCAAGATGAACTATTAGACTTGGGCTTGGACAGTTAAGTGTAGGCCAACTTTGGCTTTTCGAGATTCCCTTCTGTTTACAGTTTATAATTTATAGTTTATGCGAAATGCTAATTTGACTTTACTTTAAAATTTCAATAATTTATGTGTGACGCAAAAGGGTTACTGAGATGCCAGGCAAAGTCCTTAATTTCCGAAAATTTTACTCACAAACTTAAATTGGAATAAATAAGGAAACTATATAACAACAAAGTTGGTTCCCCTCTTATTAAAACGCTAAAGTACACATGTCCCAGGTCAGACTTACTCACCGTCACTGTACTGCCAGAAGCTGAGATGCTCATCGGTGTTGCCGGAGTGGGCCAGTATATCCTTTACAATCACACTAATCTGGTCCTTATCAGTCACCCCGGACGTGGTGGAGAGGCCACCCTGATCCAGACCCGATTCCTCCTCCTCATCTTCCCCGAATTGCAGTCCAGATATTTCCCCCAAGGAGAGAGCACCTTTCGGCTGAACATTCTGCATCTGATGTTCGGCCAAAGCGGAAGAGAGCAGGGACGAGCCCGAGGTGGAATCCATGAGAATGGCCGGTGCCTGATATAAGCACGTGGTACTGTTGCTATCCGAATCCAGCAGCTCAGTGCTCGGTGTCATTGTCGAGGAGGCTGAGTCCTTCTTAATGAACACGGAGCTGCTCGGGTCCATCACATTCTCCTTAGTGTCCGGATGAATAATGGGAATGGCATATCGTCGTTTACCCACCTTGTCGCAGCTGGCTCCTCCTAGTTGTGGTTGCTGTTGTTGTTGCTGAGCCCCGCCGACTACCGGTGGAGCCGTTAGCGATGTATTGGAGAATCCGCCAGTGGCCACCGCCTGCACTCCAGCCACATTCGGCACATTGCCGGCCATGGCCGTGGCGCTGCTGTTTTGCATGTGTATGGGTGGTGTATAGGTGTGTAATCCTGATGGCGCTGGAGGAGGTGCAGCCTGCATTCCAGTTGGTGCCAGCATGGGTGCCGCTGCCATCCCAGTGGGAGGCTGTCCCAGAGCCAGGCCCGGAATAAAGTTGGGCGTCAGATGGAAGGTGGCGGCTCCGTTCAGGGCCCCGTTGTGTGAGTTTATCATGGGAGCCACGGCAGCCGGAGCAGGACGCTGGGCATTTGTCGGGGCCATGGCGTAGGCGAAGAAGTTCGTATGCTGGGGCGGAGCCGCCGCCCTCTGGGTACCTCGTATGTTGCGACTGTGGGAGTTGCCGCCGCTGGTCACATTGTTAGCCCCACTATTTTGCACATAGTAGGCAATAGTCGGCAGCTGTCCTGTTGCGGCAGCACCTCCCGGACCCGGCTGCTGGCCATTTGGCGCCTGCAACTGCTTCTGCTGCTGCTGAGGCTGCGGTGGCGTTGGCGTATAGAAGGCGGCCGCCGGAGCTCCTCCCGCTCCGTTCGTGGGGAATGGCACCGCCGATTGCATACTCATCAGTTGCGCGCCCTGGGTGTACGGTATGTAGGCGGCGGATATGTAGGTGGCTCCGGTCCCGGCCGCATTGCCGCCGGGGGTTGCGATCAGGCCAGCTGACTGCGGGAAATGGGGTGGCAATGTGGGGTTGCTCAGCGCCCGGTTAAGATTGGCGGCGCTGGAATTGGAGGGCGCAAGCACCCCATTGGCGCCGTGGACACCACCACCATGATGTCCGCCACTGTGTCCCTGGTGGCCCAGCGAGCCGGTGCTGGCGGCGGCGCTCAGTTGGTGGGCAGCGCCGCCGCCGCCAGTGGCATTACTATTGCCCGCAGCCGAGTGGGCAGCGTATGGCGGTGTGTTGTAGAATATAACCGGAGGATGGTGCGCCTGCGCTTGTACCTGCTGCTGCTGCTGCTGCTGTTGTTGAAGCTGTTGCTGAAGGTGGACGGCGGCGGCTGCCTGCTGCTGTTGTTGTTGTTGGTGCTGCTGTTGCAACAGCTGCTGCTGTTGGTGGTGATGGAGACCGCTGTGGTTTGGAACAAACAATGCGTGGGCGGCCTGCTGTTGCTCCTGTTGGTGAAGGAGATTGCTGCGCACCTGCTGCTGCTGCTGTTGTTGCTGCTGCTGCTGTTGCTGCTGCTGCTGCAGGTGATGGTGGTGCGAGTGCGCCGTCTGGTGGTGCTGGGCTTGGTGGTTGTGGTTTTGCTGGTGTGTCGACTGTGGCCTGGTTCCCTTCCCACCCCCTCCCGTTTGCAGGAACATAGGAGGACCTTCGGAGGATCTGCACACGCACGCACACAACACACACACAGAGGCACGGGAACAGGCACACGGAGGAGTTAAGAAACGCGCGGCCGGAACAGGAGCAGATGTACAAATCGTAATGTTAGTAAGATGGAAATGGAAGTGAAAATGGAGATGGCGGATGTGGGTAAAGCTTGGCTGGTATTATTTTGTTTTGTAAAGCGGTGGGATGCATGCGTGCGAGATTTGGTGAGAAAGCAAAAACCCAAAAAGCGGCAAGCAAATCTTATGACTAAAACTGTGATCGAAAAGAGCCCTGAAATGCACCCGCTCTCTCTCTCTCTCCTCTTCCCTTGTTGATTCTTCAACTTAATTGAGCTCTTCAATTCTGTGTTATGTATGGAGTATGATGTCACTTTCATGGGGCGGCGGCGGTGCTTGAAGATGGCCACCCGCCCTGCCTTATCGCCGCTTTTATCAATGGTCTAGTCAATGGCAGCGGAAAGTGCCGAATAAAGAAACTGTGTACTATGTAAGCTGCTGGTGACACACAACAACAGGTGGCGAATTACTCAGCTGCGGAGCACGGACCAGCTAAAGAAGCCAGCGGGCGTGGGAGGTGAGCGATGGATGTATCTTCTGTCGGTTGTGAGGCCACAACCAGTTTGGCACGTCGTCAGAGACACTTTCCTCGGCACAGTACCACAAAGGGCATTGTTTTTTGAAGCAAATATGATATAGGGTTAATATACAAATCAAATCAGTAACAAGAAGTGTTTACTCCGAAATCGAAGACGATATTCGTAAACATTGATATTTTTATGATCAGAGACTTGTTACACAGAAAATAAAATCTTTAGAGGTTCTAATGTGTATTTTTAGAAATAAAGCTATACCCTTCCAGGTAGGAATTGGATCAGGGGACAAACTTTTTCAACTATGCCAAAAAGGCATTAATTTCAAATTAGCTTCAGATTGAAGTTATAATACCCTTAAAATTGTATTCATAATTTTTTGGAAATTCGTAAGCTTATAGATTAAATACTCAAAGCCAAGAATGCATTCATTTAAATTCGTTTTTAATTAGTTTAATTAAATTAAATTTAAAAAAAGGAATCTTTTTTGGTTCGGCCGTATCTATAATATATCTGGTTTGTGGGGTCAACTACTCGGTTCTGAGTAAAATTATAATAACCTGCAAGGGTATAGAAGAGTACATAAGTCTTGAATATTAAAAAAAAACAAGAAAGGAAGCTAACTTCGGCACACCGAAGTTTGTATACCCTTGCAGATTGATTTTGATATTTATATTATAAATTTAAATGCTTAAAACACACACAAAACAGAGTTTCATTACATTTTACCTAGACTTATTATGTTTACAGTTTGACGGTTACAGTTTTACATTCCCAGCTTTACATTTTCTCTACATCTACCGATCGCTTCTATGGCAGCTATATGATATAGTTGTCCGATTTTTATGAAATTTATACCATAATTCTAGAATAATAAAAAAAGCTTATATCTCAGAGTAGATAAACATACGATGGAAAACAACGAAGCTATAATTTTTTCCCTATTTATTTCTCGATCGTTCCTATGGCAGCTATATCATATAGTCGTCCGATTTTCATAAAATTTTTACCAAAATTCTATAATAATATAGAATGGCCATATCTAAAAAATTGTGCAAAAATGTTGAAAAACAGCAAAGTTATAATTTTTTTTCTACAAATATATCGAACATTTGTATGGCAGCTATATGATATAGTCGTCCGATCCGGCCCGTTCCGACATATATAGCAGTGAGAGCATATAGAAGACTATATGCAAAGTTTCATTCAGATAGCTTTAAAACTGAGGGACTAGTTTGCGTAGAAACGGACAGACGGACAGACGGACATGGCTAGATCGACTCGGCTGTTGATGCTGATCAAGAATATATATACTTTATAGGGTCGGAAACGTCTCCTTCACTGCGTTGCAAACTTCTGACTGAAATTATAATACCCTGCAAGGGTATAAAAATTATTAAAGACTGTCTTATGCTCCGTGTGCTGGCCTAGAAAACAGCGACCGCTGGTGCGATTTTGAGGCCATGCACCTCGCCACGGGGAAAACCAGTTTCCGCCCGCCCAGCGAAGAGGCTGCATGCATTCGAGAGTCGGACTCTCTGGCGAGCGAGATGGCAGACAGAAATGCTTACTTGATTTCTTGTTTGTTTGTAAACAAAACCAGTTGGGACGGCTGTGTGGGTGAGAGAGCTTATAAGAATGGGAGCTGCTCTAATTGGGATCGCCGCGATTGGAATTCGCTGGCAATGGATGGGATAAGAGAGGAGAGAGAGAACGGGAGCGAAAGTGCGCTTGTAGTTGTGTGCGTTTAAGCTAAAAAAGCAACAATAACTAATGCGAATAATTTACACGAGGATTAGTTGTCTGGATGAGGATGAGCAATTGTGGCCACTGACTAACTTACCGCTTCCTGTGCTGCTCCAGCTGATGAGTCCACTCCAATGGCAGTTGTTGCCCGTGTAGTAGTGTTTCTGTGTTGCTTCTAGTTGGACTCGGTGAGATCCTGCCCACTACTCCTCCTTCTTCTTCCTCTTCCGCTACCTTAGTTCACCTTATGTTCGTCGTTGTGGTGCGCTCTATCCGGAATTTTCAGATATTCCATATATAAAAATACGCGAGTCTATGGTGCAGCACATCCACATCCACATTTGTGCAGACGAGGGACGAGGGGCACGTACGCGTACATACATACGTACAAAAAGGTAAAAAACAACGCACACGGCGAGTGATAAATTTTCACGGTAATTTTTCTATAATTAATAGAAAGTGAAAATGCTTGAATTTTGCCTTAAATTACAATTACGGTTTTTTTTGACTAATTCTACGAATGTCCGAGCAGAGCCAGCTACGATTTAAGTCCGTCTTTGCCCTCTGTCCCAGCTGTCCCGAATTAAGAACGAATTCCAATAAAGATTCCCAATTTCGGGTCGGATGGCGAGTCCAAAGGCTCTGAAGCTCACTTTTCCCTATTCAGTTTTTCCTGCGCCGAGGCGAGGCGTTGGTTGTTGTTTTTGCAGTTCGCTTTTCTTTGCTTTTCGCCCCGTCCCTGTCTGGCTGTCCGTACTTACCGCTCCGTTCCTTGCTATCCGCTCTAGCTCTCTCGCTCGCGCGCACACACACACACAAAACTGAGGAAACGAAAAAAAATACAGTTCCGCGCGGGGAACACGCCGAAAACGTTGCACTGGCACTGCCCTTTACATCAGTGCATCGTCCGCTACACCTCGTTATGTATACTAGTTCACTATATGTTACAAATAATTTTGTAAATGTAATATTCTACAGAAACACGTCCGTGTTTGCGATTTTTTGCGATGCAGAGTGACCGTTATAGTTGGGGATGTGAAATACCAAACAGGGTTGCCAGATGAAAATTGGGCAAATTAATATTCTTGATGTTCAAATCACACCTGATACTCGAACCACATCTGATTCTACAACCTCTGGTCCCTCATGAACGAAAAGTCTGGCAACGCACCAGTGCTGCCAGACATTTCGTTCGTGAGCGAACAAAGCTGCCAAGTGAACAGGTGCTTCTTAGTATTAAAAAAAGCCACCAGATGCCGCTTTAAAATATAGGTGAGTTTCAAATCGTAACCTTAACTTATTTCTTCCAAAGTTTGGCTTTAACTTTAACATTACTTTTTTTATGTTTTGCAATAACGTAATTTTCGACTAATAATTTTTGTAATCACGTTGTGATTCTGACGGCATGGATATCGAGTATGTTCTTCTTTGTACGGTCTTTGTCCCTGTGTGGGTGTGCACATGCGCAGAACTTTGCCTTCCATTCGCAGCTTCCGTAGTGCCGCCCAACTCCGCCCACTTTCCCGGGAAACACTTGCACTTACGCGCTTGTAGTAAAAGTTTTCGCCCTTTGTATTCCGCCGGATGTGCAGTCATGGCCACCGCCCACTCCTACTTTTCGTATTCCCCAATCCTTCGCTACGCATTGCCATTTTTGAAGCCGGCTTATCAGCTTTCTCTTTGCCATCTTATTTCCAGCTGCAATTGAATTTTTTCCATAGGGTAATTTGTTCAATTTTAATAATTTTAATTTTAATAAACTGGAATAAACACATGTCCAACATTCACTCAACGTTGCCTTCCCGCATCTAATAAGGAATGCACAAACAGGAACTAAAAGGATTATTTTGTGGCCGGGAAAGCAAAAAGGCCAGACCGCAAATGCAAATGTTTAAAGTTGGCAAAACGAAACCGCAGGAGCACACACACAGAGACAGGGTTTTGTCCATGAAGTTGCGAGGCATTTGCATTGCTTGTTTTCCTGTCATGCTTTTGTGGTTTCTGCGGTCGCAATAAAGTCTGCGAGAGACAATGCAAATGCAGGCTACAACAAAGTTTAAATAATTTCTGATTCAGCTTGACACATTTGCATTTTAACGGTCGCTCAAAAGCGACACCTAGGACGTTGGCAGCGGAAGAGGCGTTGAATTTAGGATTTATAACGGCTTGGAAACTTACCACACTCTGTTATACTGATATATTTTAGTCAATATTTAAATAATATACGTTAGTATGGTTCATATATATTCTAATCAAAATGCAAGATTTACTTAAATTACTCTAAAACCCCCTGTAAGCCCCTGGCAAACGGTATTTGTTCATATATTTTACTAACTATTTTGGTATATTTTGCAGAATCAACTGGTATATTGCGTCCGTGCAAATACGGCCATACTGATGCTATTTTCGGTGGCTTCGGCTGCGTTCACACTAAGTCTGAAGCTCGTCTCGCCCTGACGCGCGTAACGCTTTTTTCCCGCATTTCCTCCACACTCATTTGGCGCTGAAAAATCCAACCCAACAAAAAACAAAAAAGGATGCACCAAATCGAATTTGCAACAATAAACCGAAGCTGCATCTAACCGGATAGCACAACTTAATATTGATTTAACTCTCCTTCCATGTGAAAACGAAAATAAAAATAGTGCGCGAATAAATAAGCAGAATAATTGAAATGGGCCTAGCCCAAAATACAACTTTTTCGTTTCTTTTTAAATAGTTTATTTTGCATTAACCAATGAAGTATATCGAATGGCGGCGACATTTACTCAAAGTAAATAGTTCAAGTGAAAATTGTGCAATAATTTAGAGAAATTTCTATGAGAAATTCATAAGTGAGCTCTGATAATAAATAGCCATTAAATGAGAAATACAAAATGTTATGCAACTTCAAGTTACACAAATAATTCAAAAATACGAAACCAATCACAAATTCTGCTCTTTGAACGGAAAACAAATACCACAGAACGCGCAGTACATACACAGATGTATATGCTCGACTATATATATAAATATACAAAAGGATGTGTGTATATAGAGGAGCCTGAGACCTAGAAATAAGGAGGGCAACGAATACTACAAACATTGGATTACATTTTGCCGCCAAGTTTAGGCTTGAGAAGACAATAAAACCCACCAAAACGAACAGGAACGAATCTGAAATAATAATCGCAGTCGAAATCTGAATGCCCACCTGACCAGGAGCAGGAAACACCTACCTATACCCGCGGCACCTGGGTACTTTTACCCACGCACGCAAGCGCAGGCTCCCCGAAAATTATATATAGCACCAAATCCACCCAAAAAAACACACACAAAAAATTAAGACAATAAAGGAAGACCGAAGGCGGAAGACGGAGCTGCCGAAATTGCTTTTACTTTGATTTCATTTCGCCAATTGTTTCAAAATGTGGAGGAAGGCGAGCGGGATGGTCAGGGAGACCTCCTCGTGGAAAACGCGTCGTCAGGGACGAACGGAAGCCCCAACAGCAGCAACGACAACAACAACACCTACATCAAACAGGACAAGGACACACACGACCCAAGGATTAATCATCACATGGTCGCAGTTGGCAGTTGTTGCTGCTGTTGCAGCACTGCTCAACTCCTCAGATTGTCAAGGTAATTGTCCTCGATATTAAAAATACATATTGTTAAATAAATTACAATTCTAAGTTCAGAAATTAAATGGAATTGCTAGGTGTGTCTCATAGGAAAAAGATGAAGCTTATTTATGATTATATATATTAAGTTTTATATATTTTATTATTGTTTATGCTTAATACATTTTAAATATATTGGGATGTATGTTAATCAAGAGTCGAATCAAAATATGTTGTTTATATTTGCTGTTGTTGTACATAATTCCTAATAATAATTATTTATTAATTCAGGCACGTTTTTCTTCCAAGAATTTCGTTTAAAAAACCCATTGATATATTTATGATATGCCATGTACTTTCACTTTTTGTTTGCCACCCGACAGTTAAGAATACTTAAATAAACAAATAGGTATTGCCTTGTGGTTTGTCTACATGTCCAGCAGACGGCTTAATAAATGCCAACTTCAAGCATCAAAAGTATGACGAATTTTTTTGGCCTTAAGCATTGCGGCTAAGAGTGAGCACTTTGCCTCGAAACCTCAATTCAATTAATTCAAGCACCCTTTTTTCACGGTGTCTTGAGACCCCCGAGAGTTGCTCAATCGCTCTTTTGAGGCTGGGCGAGTGCGAACTCAATAAAACTGTTGAATGTATCGCAAATGATCAAGCCCCTGCTCTGGGGCTATGATGTACTTTTAATGACTCTTTGTATCTAGCTAAAAAAATGTAAATTGATGCGTCATCTTCATAGCTCAATGCAAGCTCACAGAGACCTTTTTTATTTGGGCAGCCATAAAAACCTCAAAGTAAAGCTGAAAACAACAAAAGTCTGTAAAAACTATTAGCACCTCTCCATGAGACTCTGTAATTTAGTTCCAACAAAACAATCTTTGCAATTGTGATTTATTACACCGAGTACTTAAGGAGAATATGTACAGATATATCTGTCTATAGAGCTATACTTTTCTAAGCAAAGTACATATTTTTAAATATATATTTTAAAAGCAATTTGAGCCAGATGCTTTCATTATTAATAGGGAAAATAAAAAGCAAACTCATTTAAAAGAACAAAATTGTATACCTTTTTTTTTGGAATCAAAACTGTTTCGGTGAAAACATTTTCAAGATAAATTAATTGCTCAAAACTATGACACATCGCCCGCTTATATAGTAATGAATACCTTCTTGTATTCCACGCAAATCGGCATATTTTCAAAGCTCTTCACACTCCGGACTCAATTCTCCTCTTGTCATTTATGGCCGTGTGAATACATTATGCAAAGGAGGCACCTTAAATCAAAGCATGCCCATTGTTTTGCATATTATTCTCCACATTCGGCTATGACTACTTAATAACCATAATTAGCTGGGAGCACAAGGGCCGGTCTCGATCTCCGACGTCCAACGTCCCTGGGGTTCAATGAACCGACACGCAATTGGTCAGTGGGCAGAAAAAAACAGAGATACGGATACGCAGGTACTAGAAGCTCCGCGGTGGGAATGTGACTTTGTTTGAACGCATCAGAATTAACCCATTGTGAGCGAGTGGCGGCCAAAATGAAATTCCCAGTCGCTTGGACCAATTTAAATTTCAGCTCGTTGTCTTTATCTCCGCCAGTGGCTAGGGCCGAACTTTCCTTTCGATTCATTTGGCACTCTTGACACTTGCTTATAAATTCAGCCAAGTGCCGGGCCAGCAGGAAATTCTAATTTATGGCCACAAATTACTCTTCGCATTATGCAAAACACAGCGATAAGGCATTAGAGGGGCCAAAGAACCGCAAACAAACTAAATCATTCATATCTCGGTCGCGAGGTACTGCCAAAAAATCGGCCTGAGAATGGGGACTAACCACGGTTTGTGGGGGTGGGAATTGGTGTTGTATGGAAACCGGTTGACAGACGGACTTGGGCTTTGTACTTGGCCCGTTCGCTGGTTCCCAGATACCAACTCCACTCGGCCCAAATGTAACACACACATCCAGCAGCGGCAAACAGAAGTGAGTCGGCAGCAATCTTGTCGCCCCAGTCCCAATCCCATTCCCAGTACCCGACACTTACGTAACACACTCGGCCGCAAAACAAGCCGCCAGCCGACTTCCAGCTCACACAAAAAACACAAAATAAAATGCCAAGGAAAATGATGCGAAGTGCAGCCCGTTGAACCCGGCTGAGAAATGAGAAACCAATGGAACGCTTGACTCCGTCAATGTAAATTAACATGGCCTGGCAAAAATGAAAGTGTGTCGGCGACGACGATGCAATCGAGCGGTCTTTAAAAGTGCGTGTCTCCGCGTAGGCATGCGATTCCAGTTACAAACTATACTAGCAATGCGAAAAAAGATCATAAAAATAACGAAACTAGTTTTTACAACGTCAGGCATTTTCGTGTCAATGCGTTTTCTTGTGTCGGATGCGGGAGTAATGCTGAAGATCTGATGCCTTACTTGCTGTGGAGGCTGTGGGTAACTGGGTTAAGACAGAAGAATAAGGCAAACACTAAGGGAAGGTAGAGCATCATTGTCAATTTATTATAGTAAAAGGGAAAAAATTCGAATTTATTTTTATTTCCTAGTAATTTTTAGGGGCAATTCATATTCTGGGATCTTGAGCTATATTTCTATAATATAAAATAGTTAGAAATTACTTTGGTTTGCAGTTTAAAGAGAAGGAAAGGATTATATCTCCAGATTTGTTGGGTTTGGACTTAAGAATCGGCTCTAAATATGCATTTTAAGCTTTGTAAGAACCATAATAAAAAAAGAGAAAACTTAAGCAAATGGTTATTGAATTTAACAAAAGCCTTTCACTTTTTTAAATATAGCTTAAAATAGCGTAGCAATGTAAAGTATAATTACAATAGCGCTGGGAAGGAAACTAAAATAAATATTTTAACATAAAAACCCTTTTTTAAGTAAACTACAAAGTAAGTAAATACTAACAGATATTTTCTATATATCTGAAGAGGTTTTTAAAAAAATTCACCTGCTAATGATGCCAAACGAAAACCCTTTCAGTGCCAAACTATAGAGAAGTAAGCCTTTATTTAGACAATTGTATAGCTTTTATAAATGCTTTAAAATTCAAATATAATGTCGGACAAATTAATCGTTTAAATCCACTTACCGCCAGCTTAAGCTTAAAGCAATTTATCATTAAAAGATCCGGCTTTAATGATTAAGCCATTTACGTTAAAGGTGATTCAAAAGTGGGCTCACAAATCAAAGCACAGCGTATCCAATTAGGATGAATGATTTACAAAATTTATGTATTCTTTAAGGCATTAACTCCAATGATAATAAATAAAAATCATAGAACTAAAATTAAAGATGAGATGAGTTGAATTCGTACCTCATTAAGTAAATCTTAACTCATAGTGTTCATTAAATTATTCACATTGCACAAATGCAGTAAGCATCATCATGAAATGATGAGCCGAGACTAGTTTCCCTGATGACATTCGCGATTCCACCCACACATCGTTCATGTCTGTTTGGTGGAATCTATACAATCCCCCATGTGAGATATGGAGCGGCCAATTAAATCTCGTCGGCCTCACTTTTGTCCAGCCATTTTGGTAACTTTCCGCTGGCTCTTGCCTGCAGGCAGTAGGGGGAGAGTTTGCAGTCTAGCTTGTTGGAGCTTTGGTGGTGCGGTTCATTGAATTTCAATTGTGGGCGGTGCAATGGGACAACCGCGAACATCGACAGACCAGAGCCATAACAGCGAAAATATCAAACTGATTCGGTTGTGCAATGTGACTCTTACATCACTTCCTTTCCTTTCCCTTCCCAGTTGCCGCTTTCAGATGTCTCTGGGTATTGAACATGGCATGGGGATGGCTATTAGCATTCGGGATTAAAATTCGGACAGGGAATATGTTTAGTGCACCGGAAAAAAAGAGCAAAAAATGGAAGTCACCTCTTGGGTGTCGCGGCTATTACTGAGAAATCTACATAGAAATTAAAACCATGGAAATATTTAATGTACGGCCACCGGAAAATGTTTATAATTACTTTAATAAAGTAAATGCTAAACCTTTTTTGTCACAGGTTATGATGCTCCACATAACTCCACGTAACTGCTTAACTCAAATAGTTTCGACTAATTTATGTTTATAAAATAGCTGTGCGATGTGAAAATTGTTGTGGTGCCGGGAAAGTGCAGTTTTCAACTGGCTTATCGGTTGTTGGCAGTCAACAACCGGGCACCAACTTTTTTGTGTCCGCTGCCATGGCAATGTAATCTAATTCCCACCAGCAGCGCCGGAGCAGCATCCAGATCCATAACGCCATGTCCTTCGGCTGCTGGGGGATGCTCGGATTTCACGTGTGTGTGGGGAGCAGATTGTCGAGCAATTTGCAGCGATTAAATTAGCTCAAGCGTGCCGCCGAAGAAGCGATTGCCCCTCTCCACTTTGTCGTTTTGTTGTTGTTATTGCAAAGGACTAAGGTATTAAATGTATACAAATACTCCATGAGCCGGAGTTTCCAGGGTGTGGGGGGAGGTCTGTGGTTGCATATGAAGCCACCACCAAGACGCCGGAGATAGAGCAGGACAAGGCAATGCCTGGGCGGGTGTAAAGGCGCCACGCCCCCCTCCCCAGACTGAACCGCCCACTGTGAGCCGCATAATTCTCTGTGATGTTGCCGCGTAAAATGTTCTAATCTCTGCGCCGGATTTACACATTGCTTTCCAGGGACACCCCCCTGGAAGAGCCCTCCTCCTCAAGCAGCCTCCTCCTCGCTCAACCACATTGAAACTTTGTGTACATATTTGAGTTTCATTTCGTTTGTGGCTACGTTTTGGCTAACATGAAGTCATAAAATTGAAATAAATACAAATGCGAGTCGCGCTGATTTCCAGCTGAGCGGTCACGCCTCCTTTTAAGACGGGGGAGGCGACGGTGGTTGAGCGGCGGCACTTTTCCCAGCATGGGGCTCGCAAATCCCCCAGGAGGACACGATGGAACGCTGCTGGATCTAAACAAAAGCCTTCGAGTGCCGGCGAACAAATAAT